CCGTATGAAACAGAACTTTTAAAAGTTGAATTAGATTCAGTGCATTTCTCACTTATAAAGATCCCATGGAATTTATTATAATCTGACCTGGACCATAGTTTGTATTATAGACATATATTACTGATTCATCTCCAAGGGGTTGTCTCTTACTTAGCCGAGGGCCAATGCAGAGTGATTTGGTTATTATGGTCAAACCAAAGACTTTGAGCTTACCGGATATATGTCAGTATGAGCAACCAAAAACATTGATAGTCTGTGATGACAGAAAAATCTTCCCTTCTCCTGCTCAGTAGACTACCTAGACAGGTTTCAGATACATGCAGATTTTATGGGTCATTTTGGACATTTATTGTGAAACTAGAGCTAACTATTTCAATTTAAAGCACAAGTTGGCATATCAAACTTGTAAGCTCATTTATAAATCCTGTGATTTATATACCTTTGTTTTTCAAAATGTCTGTTTGTATTGTCCTTTATCTCATTATATCTTCTTACTCTACATTTGATGGCCCTTAAGATTAACTTTCGATGCAAAGCTAAATCTCTTCTTTCTAACTTTTAGCCAGAATCTGCTAAAGCTAGAGTTCTGATTTCTATTTTATTTTAAACTAACCGGTGTTATTTTCAAATGACATCATGTGAAAACCTTTTCAAATCAGTAGGATTGTCTGAATAACGGAAACAATTCTACCTAGATCACTGGAGAGGTTTCTCTAACGTCTCGTTAGAAACAGTTTTGAGCTACTCACACAAAATGTGGCATCATGATTATTCTTGCAAAGGAGAAGGTGACAGATTCTGGTTAGATTGGGTTTTAACTTCCTGTGGTACTGCAGCACACGACAACTGCAACAAGCATTGAAGCAAAACTGTGAAAAAAAGAGGACTCATATCCAAAAAGTTCCTAACCATGTAAGCTGATAAACGTGATGACTTACAGTTATCCACCATTTTTGCCTTTGTGTCTAATTTCAATGTTTTTTTTTTATTATCATGACACAATCTTTAGATGAAATACTGATAACCTGAGGGGAAAGAAATGAAACAAAAATGTAATCTTTAAGGAAAAAAAGCTACCTAAACCGACTTGAACCTATGTGACAAAGTACTTGCCTCTGAATCTAATGGAAGGGGCCAAAATAAGTGCTTTTTAAGTTTTGTGCTACTTGTGGCTTTAATTCAACAGTAGAAAAACAGGAAATATGGTGGAGAGAGGGAAGATATGCAGCAAAAGTCATAGTGTCCGGATTTGAACCCAGGAGGACTAAGTCAAGGACTAGAATTTTTGCATGCGGGTCAGAGGCTGTGTTTTTGCATCACCGCTTCACCCAGTTCTTCTTTTGCAGCAAGTGTCCTTTTTTGCCAATACTCACAGGCAAGGAGAGTTGATGGGAAAGCACACAGTAAGGTTTTCAAAGTTGGTAATCCAGGCCTAAGACTAAATCAGATTTGTGTTTCTGACTAGTCCGCTACAAAACTTTAATTGAGTTTTTTGGGGGCATTCAGAGGACTTTAACTGGTGTGTATCAGGTAATGGTCTAACACCAGAGCACTTATCTTGAGATTGTAATGCAAAGGATGAAAATATGGGTTCTGTCAGATACAGCAGGTTGTCAAGGTCTTAAAGGAGCTGATATAATATGTTTTTGTTTTTCTACTGAAAATGTTTTTTCAATTTTACACCAGATGTAACAAGATTAAAACCATCCAAAAAGTTTTTCTTTGACTTCTTTAAATGTTTTTCCAAAAGCCATGGGAATCTGTGATTTTGCTGCTTTGGCAGGTCAGCCTTTTGTGTTTCTCATTGGTTAGCCATGTTTTTTTCTTTCTTGAAACTGTCCAATGGATGCCATTCTAGCCAGGTCTCCTTTCTATTGTTCAATAAGAAAGAAAGCATGCCTTATTAACAATGTACTCTCAGTGTTAGTTTAGTTGAGCTGCCACTCCTTGGAGGTTTCAATTGTTCCATTTTCTTCACCATTAAGGTATAGTGGTTCTCACTGCTGTCTGCAGGAGTCCCAGAGGCCTATTAAATGTTTTGTAACCCTTTCCATTCCAATGTCCGAATTTCATTTAAAAAACATTTAAACTTTTTGTCAGGCAGTTTCTGTTAATGATTTGTGATTTCTCTGTCCTACTGGTGAGACAAATGTCATTAATTTTATTCATGTTTCTTGAGTTTTGGTTTGACAAACCTTTTTTAGATGATAAAATATCTTCTTTTCACAAGAAAAACAGCACAGCATGTCAGGAAGAAAATTATTTAGCGGAAAAGTATTTGCTAAAAAACTGAATAGTTACAATGTTTTTTACTATACATTATACTAACTACTGTAACTTATATGTGAGGTTTTTCTATTTGATTTATTTTTATATGACATAAAATGAGCTATGTTACAGAATCTGGTGTCAAAACTAATCTAAACTTGGGATTTCAACCTGTAAGCTTTCACATATCAGTTTCATGTCAGTGGAAACTAAAACTTCTTGCAGAATTCTTTTACCCCTTTAAAGTCGCCATAAATTGTAATTTACAAATAGTAGAAGAAAGCTACCTTCAAATTGTACAAAGTACTTAAATGTGCAGCCAGGCAACAGTTGTACATCTTATTTGATCATTAATTTTTTTAAAATAAGCAGTAGCGTCAACTAGCTGATGTTCTGTCTTTCTCTTTCCCACATTGTTTTAAAGATTTATATTTGCTGACTAAAACAAGAAAAAATATTTACACCCATGAGAGTGTTGCTGTCACAAACAAAGCTTTGCAGTATTTTCTCCCTGTTTATACATTTGGGTCCCAGAAGATTAGAGCATATCCAACAGCGTTCATTAAAAAAACTCTAGTTTGTCATCACTTGGAGTTTTCTAATATAGAAAAGTGTAAATACGTATTTTCTTTAACTAAAAGAGGTTTAATCCCTGTTTTACATATAATATAACTTTAATGCTTTGCAGTCTCTCCTGCTTGCAATCAGACCTGCTTTGGTCCAACATCCAGCAGGTCTGAAAACAAAACAGGTTGCCAAGTTGAATTGTGCTGATCTGCATTAAGCGCCCACATTTCATGTCAGCCTTGGGTTCACTCACATCTCATGAGCAGGTGACCAAGAGATAAAAATAGTGCTTGTTTCCTTTATCTTTGCACCCCGCATAGTGCATAGACAGTGCATAAGAAGTGCACTAGGGAATTTGCATATAGCATACCTGTTTGTGACCTCTTGTATTTTTGCACAAGCAGTATTCATTTTTAGATGCATTTATGCCTGTTCCAAAACTAACACACATAAATTTGGCTCTACTTGCATGTTTTTCTTAATGTTCACTTGGTGTTCTGTTCTTTATACAACAGAGGAAAGTGCTGTTTCACATGTAAGCTGAGCAACTTAGGTTAACACCTTGAGACTGTTGGTTGCCTAGGTGTTAAAAAAACTCCCCCACATGTTCACATGCTGCACCCTTATTGTCCCACTTTGGTCAATGGTAGGCTCCGAATGCAGAAAGAAAGAAAGAGGAAAGAACCGACACATTAGAAACAGAGGGGGAAAAAAATCCCCAAAAATATATATTTCATATTTCCAGTGACTCGTTTTTGTGTTTTTATGAATATATATCCTGGGGGTTTACATAAAAAGCAAATCTGTGATTTCTGTTGCTTTTTATCAAGTTATCATATTCCTTAATTTATAACAGAAAGCTTATATATCTTTGCAAATGGTAATATTCAACTTATTTACTATACCCATGCAGAAGTGCCAAGCAATACCAGAATTATATACTGCCATCTGCTGGCTAGCTAAATTAATGAAGCTCTTTAAGTATGATTTACGGTAATGAGAACAGTTTTGTAATGCATTATATGTTTCTTGTAGATGTATTATGCATGTGATTTACACTTTCTGACTCTTTGACAATGGGAAGTATCATATGAGGGTTGCAGATGCCTTTGTCCTGTTTGCTGTTGAACTAGTTAAATAGAAAAAAAAACATTTTTAACATATACAGTATTAATTTTTTTTTTTTTTTTTTTGCAAAAAGAAACTAACTACCTCAACAAGGAAACAGCATCCACTGGGCCAGGATATATGTTTATCTATTCTTTGATTAGTTTAAGAATGTGGGAGGGTCAACCAATATTCTGCTATAGAGGCTTTATTGATAAAGGCGTATCTTAATGAATACGAAAAAAAAAATTAAAAAAAAAAAACACTCAATGTGGAAAGAATAATAAGCAGAAGACAGAACATTGTTACTAAATAGGTCCAAAACCCAGGTGAAGAAATCAATCAAGAATCAATAAGAAATCAACGTAAAACTACAAACGAGACAAATGTTTAAGTATTATTGGTTCCCTGATCATCAATATTCAATTTGTTTTAGAAAAAAAACAAACTAAAACTTAAAATGATTTCCTAAAGTTACCTTTATACCCTTCAATGTGGCTTTAACACACAAATTATTTTACAATTAATTATATTGACTTTATTATTATATTGTTATTGTAACTACTTCAAACTGGTTTTATTTACAAAAAGGAAGGGGTAGTCCAGCAAAGCTTGGAGTGACAGCATAAGAAGAAAAGGAGATTTTCACCTTTATGGTGAAGTGTGAGTGTGTGGGTGAATGGTTGTTTGTCCTGTTTGTGTTGCCCTGCGTTGGACTGGCGACCTGTCCAGGGTGTACCCCGCCTCTCGCCCATTGACAGCTGGAGATGGACACCAGCACTATGCGCGACCCCACTCGGGATTAAGCGTGCCAGAAAATGGATGTTTCTATTAAGTTGATTTGAGCAGATTTCCCCTTATGTAGTTGAATCTTTAGCTGTTATTATATCATGTTTTTTTTTACTCATGTTGCATATCAGTAAAAAGACCTAAATAAAGTGCAATTTATTGATAGGAATGACATTACGCTCCAGAACACACAAAAGTCAGAGGCATCAGGGTGGATCTCAGTGCATCCGTGGAATGATAGAATCACATCTTTATTGACTTTTATCTTTACAGAAAAGAAAATAACATCTTAAGTCACCAGATCATGCAAAGCGATATTGCATTACAAATAAAAACACAATACAAAACAAATAATATATATATCTATATATATACTGTACCATAAATATGGAGCTTTAAGTAAATACATGTATTACAAAAAATAAACTTCTTGGGGTGATGCAAACAAATACAATATGCTAAATTTCAGCAGTACTGAATAAGGATAAGCAGATAGGCTGAAATGTTCTTCATTAAAATGGCTATGTTCAAATTTTTCCCGTTTTTGACAATGAAAGTAGAAGATAACCTCCAGGTTGCATTAAATTCAATCTGGCTACACAAATAAGTTAAGGTACAAACTGAAACACTGACCATCATGCTCCTGACTGCAGTTTAAAAAGCAACCTGGAACCAGACCACTGAGACTCTTCAGTTAACACATAGACAAATCCTTTATGTATGATTATATTCATATAAGGGTGACAGCACTCAACAGTCATGTCGAGGGGTTATTGCACTACTGTCTCAATGTCTTTTCAATAAGAGTAATCAACAATTACAATACTGCTGATAGATCTACACAGATGTGAAACGAGGAATCACCAGTCACAGCGACAGACATGAGTAACTTTCTGAAATGCATTCATTTAGTCAGTCACCTGCTCCCACACATTTGGGATTCAATTATGCCTATGCTGGTTAAAAAATAACAACCGCTTTAGAGTAAATGAATACATCTCAGTTTGTGATTGACCCAGGTCTGCACAGCTAGCGGATGCAGCTGTAAATCAAAAACATGTTCACAATAAGGCTACAACATCTACAGAGAGAGGAGAGAGGCAACAGAGGGGAAAACTCAACACTGATAGAGTTCCCCATCTAATCCAAAAGTCATGTTTTGAGTCACTTGGAGGAACCATGCACGACTAGTGAACACAGATGAACACACACATACGTATATCCAAATTCCTCTCAAAAAGGATGAACTTCGGGTCCCTTTTTTTTTAGGACAAACACAGGTAAGCCAGAAAGAGCCTGGCATAGCCAGGGACTAGAGACAACACAGCTGGAGTTACAGAAGAACAAACCCTTCAAAAATGTTTCTACATTTCTTCTACTCACAAAGGGACAACATTTACTGAAATGGAAGCTATCAAAGGTCAGATTAGATGAGGTTTCTATAAATCTACCCGCTGAATGAAAGAGTTATGTCACTGACAACTGAAAGGTGCTGCTGGATTTTTTTCATTAACTGGCTTATGTCCCTTTATAGTTATATATGTTTAAATTTATATAATTTGTAGAAATACCATATGTACAAGGCATTTATCACCTTCCATCCATTGCTTTCTACATATCTAATTTAAGGTTCTATGTAAAAATAAATTGTTTTTGTCTACAATAACATCATCTGTCATATACTGTGTCTAAGAGAACACTCATATCTATTAAAGAGATGTATTTCTCCTTTAAAATCAGATCCAAACTAAGTAAAGATTGATAATCTGAATATAGCACACACACAATAGTTCAGGAGTTGCGATGCATATTAGTTGTATTTATGATAATTTACTCTCCATTACTCTGACCCCTAAATAATGTTGCAAATATGATCATTTCCGTATGTTAAATATGAATTAACAGGAATAAGTGCATCACCCTGGCAGTGTGGTAGTTTGGGATAAGCCAATAACCTACAAAAAGTTACACTTTTTGTGTAATCTGTCTCCTTGCAACCACAAGTGATTAGACATTGTTGAAACTGCATGATAGAACATCATTAAAAAACAGTTGACTATGAAATAGAAGAAAAGGGAAGCATTTTTTTTTAAATTCTTTTTGATAATTGTAAATAAAGGCAGTATCTATTTTGTGGATTGAGTGTTTCGCCTGTTGCATTTAGCTAAACATTAAACATTTAAATACCATCCAATGCAACAACTGACTTTAGAGGCTGTCCAATTTGTAAAAAAGTGTTTGATATTGATGTGTCTGATGAGCTTAAAACATTATGATCTGAAAAAGCAGCAAAAAAGAAATCTTTCTGCACTGTAAGCACTGTACCTCTGGAGGAGCTGCAGAGATCCTCAGCTCAGATCAAAGAATCCGTCAGGCTTATTATCAATCATGCTTCTCAAAAGTCTTGCCTTTCACTTCAAAAGTCGGCGGTTGTAATGTGACCGAAATTTTTATTTCCAGGAAATTCTTTAAAGAGGTACTTTTGCCAGTCACTCTATCAATGACTTAACTCCTTCACACCAGTTAGTCTTTTATTAATCTTTGTTTTCAACAAGCCTCACCGTCTTTTTTTTTTGTTTTGTTTTTGCATTGCGAAGAGTGGAGCTGAACAAGGATGTAGGAAATAAACTACAGTTAACACATAAACCTAAAACTCAGACGGGTTCACATTTAATGTCAATCAGGAAAGCCGGCCACTAGTTAAAAGCATGACCAGCATCATCTGAGGGGTGAACTGTGTTTCAGCTGTGCCTAGTCAGAGAAAAGGCTCGCAAAGGACTTTCGAAGGTTGCGAATGGTTTCGGCCTTTGCCTCTTCTTGGCCATCCCCACCTGAGCCCGAGACCCCGCGGAAGAAAGAAGAGTCGCTAAAGGCATTGAAGGCATTGGTCAGGGACTGAGACTTACTGGAAGGAGAAGAAACAGGGGAGGAGGGGAGGGAATAGGAGCATTAGAGGGAAAGGAAAAGACGGTTATGTGAACATTAATGAGGGTGTAATCAAACAGCATGAACAGAGGTAAATAATTACCCTTTACTGAGGAATAACAATGGATTTAGTGATCAAAGAAAGAGTAAAGGTGTTGTTGTTCTTGCATTATCCAGAGCATAATGCCAATGTGTTTCTTACTTCAGTAGTGGATGGGTCTTTTGTTGGGGCTGCTCTTCCACAGGTGCTGTGGCTTCACTGGATGAAGTAGCTGGTTCAGCTGGAGCCGGCTCAGAGTTTTTGGGTGGAGAAGCTGGCCTGGCCTGAGGGCTGCCTGGAGCTTGAGATGGGACGTTAGATGAGGACTGGTTGGATTTAGCGGGGGACTGAACCTGTGCAGGGTGTGTAGCATCAGAAGCTGGGGTGGGTTCAGGGACTTGGGCCTGAGATGTAGGCTGGGGTTTGGGCAAAGCTTTTGGAGGAGGTGGAGTTTGTGGCTTTGGCTGAAGCTGTGGCTTAGAATTCCTGCGGACTGGAGGGATTGGCTTTGCAGGTGGTGTTGGTTTTGGGGGAAGATCTTTGGGTTTTCCAGGTGCAGCTGTTGGAGAACATTGTGGCTGGGGTTTGGGCTGTTCTGTGGTGGCAGCAGAAGTTTTGGGTGAGGCAGGAGGGGAACTTAAAGCTGGTGCTGGGGTTTTGGTTGGTGTTGAACCTGGAGCTGTGGCTGCTTTAGCTGGGGATGATGGGGAAGGTTTGGATGGGACGGAGCTGGGAGCAGAATCCTGCGATGACTTTGTCACAGATGGGGCTCTGGTCATCGGAGGAGGCCTCGGCACAGGAGGTTTTGTGACAGAGGCAGCCTTTTGAACTGGGCTCGGTTTCTGAGCCTGCACTGGTTTCTGACCTGCAACAGGTTTCTGGACCTGGTCGGGTTTAGGCTCTGATGCTCTTTTTGTGGATTCTGCTGTTACATCCACACTTTGTGATTTCAGTGCTGCACCTGAAACAATAAGAAAAAGTGTAGTTTTATTAGAATACAGTTCTGCAGTTACTGCTGCAATCAGAAGTCAACATACTCACTGTATGCTTGAATATCAAAGTAATCTGGGCTTTTAATGAGTGATTAAAACTGATATTTATCTTAAGAATTTAAGGATTATAGAGATTTTATTTAAAATAATTTCAAAAAATGTAACTTTCGTACACAATCTTAAATTTATTGCAAATTTGATCTAATCTCACAATTTCAAAATAACATATAGGCTCTAATCAATACCAAAAACACTTATTAATTTGGTTTAAATTACTTCATGATATTCTCCATTATTTCAAAGGGAAAAAATCCTTTAATTCAATGTTGTGCATCCAGGTAGAGTTTTAGAAACCATCAGGTTTCCATGTTGTATTTAATTGTACCCTTTAAAATAACAGAAGAATAAAAAAAAGAACTAAATTAATTTGACATTAATGCATATAGTGAATATAAATGAACTTCTGCCAGTTAATGTAAATATCACCTAAATAGACAAAAAGCAGCTCACATTAATCCAGAGAGAAACAGGAAGTGCTTAAATACAGTAAATACATTTGCATAAATATTTAAAAATATCACATCTCTTGTTTTAGCACTAAAGCTCCAAATATCAGGCATGTGTAGCACTCATCAAAACCAAAGCACAAGATGACATGCCCATTTATACGATTCCATCAAAGATGTGCAAAACTTCAGTGCAACTCAAACGTAAACAGAGGACTGGACCAAAAGCAGTTCACTAAATATCTAAACTATGACCAGCAGAGGGTGGAAGATCAGCAGCTAATAGTACTGTGTTTTAGAAAAATTCTTATTGTAAAAACTGGTGCCTTTTTTTAATGCTGTGCAGGTTGAAATAAACAGTTAAGGAATAGAAAGCAGTTCAAAGCAAAGCAACAGCAGCCTCAAGAAATTTAACATGCAGAGCAAAGAAGTGACTGGACTGGGATACATTTTCTGTCATCAAAAAAGTTTTGGATTTAGGATAATGGAGTCATTTCAAATTGTATTTAAAGTTATTTCTGGAAAAGGCTTCACATTTTCCATAATTGCACACTTTAAGAGTTATTCTTTTTAATATGGCCTGATCTCAGCATGCTCCTGAAAAGTCATCCCAGAGGGTCACTGATGCCAGGCAGCCAAACTGCCTCAAGTCTTACATTTGGTCAATGGTTGCTTGTGATTCACGAAGCATAAAAACCAAGGAAAATAAATAACATGTGTACAAACATATTGAGAAATAAGATACAATAATAATTTTCTTGGATACCAACCGTTTGTTAATATTAAAGTTTGTTTCTGATAATAATGCATGATGATTAAGGTATGTATTTATTTAAGACAATATGTGATTGAGTAATATTTTATAGTTTTATTTTGATATTCATCAGCAGGTCAGCTACTCAAAAATCAAATAATTGGTTTGGATCCAAGCAAATACAGAAAAATAGTGTAAAGAAACAGTAGTAGCCAAGAAATGCAGAAACTAAAGGTTTGCATAAATTACTAATAGTAAAATGAAACAGAATTATATATATAAATACATATTTTTTTACCCACAGAGAAAAATGACCAGACAATTAATAATAAATACCGTAAGTAAGGTTGCACAAGGTGTTAGCTTCATAATATATTAAAGAAACATTTAAAAACATTGATCTATTTATCTGTTTACGATTATGGACTGCACTGTTTACAGTCTTTAATGATTATTTACATTAATCAGAACACATTAATTTTACATCTTAACATCTATTGTAATTTTCGTGAGACATTAAAAGCCAGCATTAGTAAATTAATTTAACCCCAGATGATGTCAAAACATTCACCAAATTCATGCAAAACAAGAAGCTGTCCTTAATGAACATGCAACACTCAATAAAAGTTATAATACAGTTAAATCAGCAGTTAATATAACAATTTTGGTGAGGACGTTTAGCTTTAACACACCAATCCTGGGTCAACCAAACATGGGTTACAGAACAGCTGGAAAAGATACTTAAAATGATTAATGAGTGACATATGATGCATATTTATCTGTAAATTCAATTGCACAAGTAAAAAGGAAATCTGACCATTGCTTTAGCTGAAAGTTGGTTACATTTGCTGCTTTTAAGCACAAGCCGCTGCACCAACCATTATTTTTAATGGCTGCAAACCGCCAGCCAGTGAAACCAATATGACACTAAAGTGTACGTTTGATGCTATTATTTAAAACTTTTTTACCTTCTGGAACGAGGAGAAGCAAACGAATAATAATCTTTTTTTTGACAAGACATTCGTAAAAATCCAGACGTGTCATCCATACAAGCCATAGGAGAGCAAATTAAACCTTTAATACAGTTGTCAAACCATTAAAGTAGACATGAACCAAAAAACCTTGGAGGGAATAAACTAAGCACAATACTTTCATATCACTGCTTCAAGAAATAACTAATTTAACAAGTAATCAATTATTGATTGTTTTATGATTAATATATGACCTAGCAGTACATTACCCATAAAGTGAGACACACTTGGCTATTCTATTTGTTCCTTGGTTTGTTTGACTACTTTAGTTGTCAAATTAATGTTGGGTTGGAAGAAACATGATGTATGGTTTTAAAAAGGTTTTCCTGGAGTTAAAATCTTAAAAGTGTGGAATGCCTTTGTATGTATGCCCATTTACTCTCATAACCCTTAATAAAGTCTTGTTGAGGCAATTGTCTTTGGAAGTCACATTCTTGGGGGAAATAGAAACCGACTGCAGCCTTTTTGAAAGGAAGCCATACAACATTGAGATTAACTATTCACAGAAGACGTGGCATATCGATCAAACAATTATTTAATGCTTGCTCAGATGACACCAAAATTAAACTTTTTATCATACACAAAAAAGATGATCAAATTAGTAAAATTAACAATGCACATTACCCTGAACACATCCTCCCCACAGTAAAACATTGTGGGTTGCTTCTTCTGCAGGGACAGCAAAGCTGGTTTGACGTAATGGAGAAATGGAGGGCGATCAATGCAAAGCAGCCCTGGAAGTCTTTATCTAAAGGCTGAGGTTCATCACTTAGCAGAATGAGTGCACTAAACACCCAGGCCGAAGGTGGACTGGTTTAGATGTAATGCATTATCATGTGTTACAATGGTAAAGAAAAAAGTCTAGAACTAAAACCCGTTTACTGTAGAACCTCTGCCAAGATTCGAAGATTGATTCCCCAAGAATATCTCCATCAAGTCTACATTCTCTGTGTTATTCCAACATCCAAAACAATCAATATCGTACTCTGAGGTCTCTGATTGGGATGTTACAAAATTTAAAAAAGTTTAAGGGGTATGAATATTTCAAGCAGCTGTATTTCAGATCTACTAACACCAAAACCCAATTATTAAATGGGGAAGATGCTGTTGTGTCCATTTGGTGTACTCTAACTGGCAGCAATATTTATCTGCCCCTGTGAGTTGCACCTTTGTTTACTTTAATAATTGGCAACATAAAACAAAGGTAAGTAGAAATGAAGAGGTAATAAATGCAGCACATCAGCATATTTTATAGAAATGACCTGTGCTGTGTGACTGTCGGTTATACACGAACGCGTTTGTATAAACACTAATTCTTTAAATGTTCCCATCTTCCCTCTTATGGCAGTACTTCATTTATCAGTAAATGACCAGTGGATGCTTTAAAACCTCTTGCAGTTAACTGATTTATGCAGAGAGTGTTCTCTAAGCTTGCTTCCACCCTACAGCTGCAGTGCTTTGACTGTGGGCAGTGTTCAGACAACCTTGAGTTTGAGGGCGTTGGCCTGAGCTCCTGTTCGGGTCTGCCTGTCCTTCCTTAACGGAAGCACTCTGGTAAAAGAAGAAAGACGGAAGAAACAAACAAACACAGATGAGTTAGTTGTGAACTGTGGAGGACTGAACTAAAACATCTAATTCATTCAGGCTTTCTGTAAGATGATTATACACTATTTTCATTTGCTAAACAGTAACACTATTTTACCTTTTTGTTCCAAATGTTAGCAGTGTGTTTAAAATAGAAAGTCTGACTCAAATTCTTATTTTTTACATTTATTGTCATACGTGTAAATGCACTGTGAACACAAAATCTGTGTGAAATTTGTCATTAATCTACATCTGTTGCATGGAGCGGTGCCACTTCTAGCACCTGTATTCCAGCCAGGATGACTGAGATATCTTACTTAGATATGTCCTTTTCTGATTTCACTCCATGCCTGGAAATTGAGCTGGTCACTCCATAACATTAATCTTATTTTAATCCAAAAGAAAGCCACTGCCTGCCTATTGGTGTGTTTGGGTTGCTAGCACCCATTTCAAAACCCATTAACTGTTTCACATCAGAGAGCTTGGGTTCAGTTATTTTGATAACTTTAAACCGATCAATGATACATGTTAGATTAAGCTAGACCATGCTTCTGTCAAGTTCTGCCCTGATAGCTGATCTTAATTGTTCACTTCATTCACCTGCCTAACTCTGCCAAGTTCCTAATAGTTCCTCATCTTATCCACCTGTGCCTGTTCCTTTATATTCAGCTCAGCCCAGCTCTCAGGGCCAGATCATTGTTTGTATTATGTTTGTATGTTAGTTTGAGTTTGGCTCGCATCGGTTGCGTTAGTTGTTTTGTGTTAATAAACGTTTAGAACTTTCCCTCTGACTGTCTCGCCTCAAATACTGGGTCAATCTGTCCCAGTTTATGACCGCTTCATACAGTATCAAGGGCCTGAATTCTGTAGGACATGCTTTCAGTGGTACTTGAGATGTTGAACTCTTTCTCTTTAGGAAAATCTATCTGATCTTTAAGAAACATATTTTTCAACAATGGATACTTTCTTGGATGTCTTGGCATTACATTGCCATCCTCTCACTGTTACAGTATTTAAAAGTCTCACTGGAGCTTCTTTGACAGTGCCTAAGCTGATTCTTGGCTAGTTTTTGGCATTTTTACAATTTTAAAATATAATAAATAGTGGTTTTGCAGTTCTTTTAAATGTTTCAAATGTTTCTGGTTTTGGTTTCAATTTTAAAGCATTTATGATCATTTTAGCTGAGCAGTCCCTCTCCAAAAATAATATTTTTAATCAAAGTAGGCTGTTCTGAATAATTTGTGAAAAGACAAATTTTATGTATATTTTAGCTTTAATGCTGACCTCATCCTTATTTATCAGCCATCATTTGTCTCTGAATGTTACAGCACACTAAATAAACTTTGTAACTAAAACTTAGTTTTAAACACTGCCCTTTAAATTAGACATCAAAGTACCTACCTAGAAAAAGCAACATACAAACAATGGTGTTAGGTTGTGTTCTTTCTCTATTTCTCAACTACACCCTCAGAAGAAAAGTAACCATGCAGAATTAGAGATATTATAAATAGAAAGGATTCATCTGATTAGTGTTTCCATTAAACAACACTTTATGCTCTGTAATACCCAAGTTAAAGCACAATTAAGTTACCTGTTGGGGCTGCACAGTTGTTGGCTTCTGGCTTTGAGGAGAGCGAGCAGGCGAACGGGAAGCACTAGATGACCTGGCAATCAGTGCTTGGTTCATCTTAGCCAGCACAACTTCAGAAATAAGATGGCGATCCTCCGCCTGGTGATCCCCAATCAGCTGCATAGATGAACCCACAACCTGGAAAACATGATACAAACTATGAAAGTTTCTGTGTAACTTTCTGAGATCCGAATAATGCCATAATTCATTTCAATAATGTGCTACTATAATTACAGGATTGTTTACTTTATTTTCCCTACAACTTGTGCAGGGTTCAATCAGTCAATCTTTTTCAACTGATTTCTTATATTAATCAAGACCTGCATTGGCAGAATTATTTTCATATAATTAAGAAAAAAAAAACCTCCTCAATAACACAATTTTCATAATTTCTTACCAGGTTGTCTCTAAGTAAACTAGACATATCAAACATCCCACTGGTTCTTTTTTCAGGATTTAGACATTTCAAAAAGCAGGAAACATAGGCGGTAGGAGTTGGAAAAATAAACAGGCCAAAGAGTTTCCCCAGGATGCTGGAGTTCAACTATTGCAACTGGTGACCTATATACTGCCCCTGTGTTTGTACCGGGGGATTGTAATGTTGGGTATTTAGAAATATTCCTAGTACCTGGAGGTATTTGCTTTATTGGCGACCTTAATTAACTCGCCTTTTTTAATAAAGCAGCAATGTTACACTACTTCTCAAGATCTCTTGACCGACCTGGTCAGACATTGCTCCTCCACATAATTCCATCCTTTTCCAGGCTCTGGTCATATGAAATGTAATCTAAGTTTTCAGCTCCTTGCTGTTTGTTAATATGATTATCTAGAGATCTGTATTTGTTTTTATTGCTTTACTGATTCACTATGTCCAGTTGCAGGAGTATTTATTGGAATCTGAGTGCAACGTTTTTAAAGCATATTCTAGGTACAATCGAGATTTTAGTCAAATTTGTTTTTAGTAAACATAATGGTGACTCAACATTTTTGATGAAGGCCCAGGCTGAGGCCTCCTAACCATGTTGTGGGTTTATAAAAAAGAATCTAAATGCATTCAGGAAGAAGAAGCTTCCTCTGAGCACGTCAGAAAGAGTCCTACACACTCTGTCTTATCATGCTGCTTCCTGAGCAGCATATTAAAAACATTATTCCTAGGGCATGTTAGATTATGAGTTCCCTTAATGACTCTGGTCAACATCAGATTTATTTATTTGTTATTTTCTGAGAATCTGCCTTTCAAAATATTTTATAGACCAATATTTTAGCTCTCATAACCTTTGGTCATACAGTGCCTTGGAAAAGAAATATATTTATTTTGAATCTTTGCACTTTTGTTGCCTGAAGTCTATTTAGGCTGTACATTATGCCAACAATTAACATATAGATAAAAGTGGAAAAAAAAATTAAGATATTCAAATTCAACCCCCTAATTTTTTTTCAGGTATAACCTACATACACAGTTAAAACTTAAAGTAAAACTGCTGAATGATTATATTAAAGCAAGTAGTATTTTGGGTTTGTCTCTATCAGTTTTTTATATTTTATAACTGAGGGTTTTTTACCACTTTCTTTTGAAAATGGCTCATGACCAGGACAGGAAAAATCTATTTTATAATCTTCTATCAGTTTATTATTTAGATTGAGGTCTGAACTTTGACCAAGTTATTTTACCACATTTATGTGTTTTAATGCAATCAAATACTTTACATCTTTGGCTTTATAAATCTTTTGTTCTTCTTAAAGTTAAACCTCTGTTACTTATTAGGTCTGTATTGAGCTCTAATGTATCTATCAGTTTTTCTCACTCTGCTATGAAAAAAAAAAAAATAAATAAAATAAAAAATAGTGTTGCTACAGCCACATTAAATTGGATTTTGTTTTCAGGGTTATGTCCCTTATTTGATTTCTGCCTTGGCTTCATTTTACTTGAGAGCATTCTTTGGTATTTTGAATTAAAATATTTTTCTGAGCTGCATGGTGGAGCAGTTTGTAGCCCAGGGTCGTTCTGCATAGTTTGCATGTTCTACTAATGTGTGGGTTCACTCTGGCTACTCTGGTTAGTCAGTGTTGGTCAGTGTTAGGTTCACTGACTTCTGCTATGCCATCAGAATTCTGCCAAAAGTCCACATATGTAATAAACACTTGGAGCAGCCTTACGTCATACAGACATAAATAAACCACTTATCACACGCATGTTTAGCATATTACATGTGTAAATATAATACCACACAAATGATTGCTTTTTCGTTCTCTCTGCGAGGGTGGTTAGATATACATGCACTCGCAGCCTCCCTCCTCCTCCTTCTGCGCACTCATGTCAACTTTTGTATTTTTGAAGCCGTTAGTCACAGGAAAACAACACCCCTCCGGTGATTGGCTACTTTTCAGGAAATTCTGCATCTTGAGTTGTGATGCATTGGCAAGGTAACCAGCGTAAACTGTCATCCCATCTCCAATTTCAGCTAGCAGAAACTATCAGGCTATTTGAGCAAAACTTTTTTTGTAGATGTCCTATAACCCTTTTTAACGGACACGCTAGAGCCAGTCAGAATCCAGTATTCATCCAGACAATGTTATTTCTAATGATATAATGATGATGACGAACTTCCAACTCTTCAACAGAAGCAGTTAGCCTGAAGCCGTTCGCAAGTAGGAAAAAGAGTACAGTATCAAGAAGCATGATTCCCTGAAATGCAACCAATCACAGATGGATTTCTTTGTCCTGTGGGTATTTCCTTAAAGTGACAAAAGTTGACATAAGCACACAGTAACAGCTCCACATGCCAGGGCGAGGTTAGCTGCAAATGTGGAAATCAAATCACACATGCATATAGAAGAAACAAGCACTAATGTGTGTGGAACCCATGGTATTCTTTTTGCGCATGTAACATATTTAACATGCACGTAAGGAGTATTTTATCCTAGTGTCTGTATGAAGTAAAGCTGCTCATAGGAGTATGTATTGTGTGTGTGGACTTTTGGCAGAAAACTGATGCCATCATTTTATACTTTTCTATTCTTTTCTTTTATAAATTACTCTCTTCTTGTTACTCCGCCATAATGCCAAGACTCCTGTACAAGGGCAAGAAATCCTGCCTAAGCCACCATAACCTACTCTACAAGTTTATGTGGACGTGTCATACCTTGGTTGTCTTACAGATGTGTGATCATTTATTTTAAGAAAATTTTGTTTTATAACCTAATCCTGCTTTAAATGTTTCCCCTATTTTATGTCTGACCTCTCTGGTCTTCATGATACTTTTCCTTGCACAAGGCCTTCATAAAAAAAACTGGATTTATATTGATATTATATTAAATCCTCTTTACCATTTCTCTTTTACTCTTACGACACAATTATGCACAGCCTCCTGTTTCTCTGTTTCTTTAAGCCTCAAATCTTCAGGTTGTTGTTTGTCCTGCTTCTATTTTCCTTTCTATGTATGTATTTTAAACCCTTGATTACATTGTTGCAAAAATTGCTTCTGCACATTTAATCGTTAATTTTCTTTCCAGCGTTTAAGTATTCTATATTTAGAGTTGACATGTACAGCTTGGTAATCAAGAGAGTTTACGCATGGAGATGTTACCACTAAATGGTTGGGTTTTATGAAAGCTATTTTTATAGTGGAGCCTTGTTCATAAAAGCTGTGGTCATGGCAATACTGTGAAAACCAGAGCAATATGCTAAAAGACAAAGAAAGCAGGGGGCGTAATGGTTACTGCATAATTTTTTGAGAAAGACAGACAAATAGTACCAATTTTGTAATAAATGGATCATATCAAAATCCAATAAAACAGAGGAAATTGTATGTTTAGGCTAGGATAGATGAGGTACATGATTTAAAGCTGGAGCTTAGATTTAGACTGACAGACTAATATTGAATGAAAGGATGATGTGTAGTACATATGGGAAAAGATTGTTTAGTTTGATTATTGGCATGGAATAGTCTTACTATTTGGTTCTAAAAATTCAGGTGGGAATGAATACAGATTTTATCCACCACTCCAAAGCCTTGTCTACAGCTTCAAACCTGAAAGTTTGTTCTCACCTCTGTAATGTAGTCGTTACCATCCTTGCCACAGATGGCTTTGACGGCACAGATATCCAAGCCTCCAAAGATCTCTGAGCAGGTGTCAACCCACAGTTTATATCTGCCAGAAAGATAAATGTCTTAGTTACCAAAAGAAAACCCCATATTATGTGCCTTTAAGGGAGTAAACAGCTGTTTTTTCATGATTTAGATCTTTGCATTTAGACAGAAAAGTTACATTTGTAAGGTTGACAAGGAAAACTTTAGGTCTTGCATCTCAGTAGAAGTGTTAACTTTTCATCAATTAGGCTCAATATGTCAATGCTATGGTTGTTTGGGGGTATTCATTATTAAAGCAAACCTTTGCACAGCCCTTCTCTTGCTTTAGACTGTTTCTGCTACCTGCAAGACTGAAGACAATCAAACTAATATCTAATGTAATCAAGATTAAATCAGTAAAATGATATTGTGCTGACAGTGATAATCTACCTTTTTCAATGCTGTAATACTCATCAAACAACTTTAGTGACTCTTTCAGAGTGTTGTTTTTAATTTAAGAGTAGTTAAACTAAAATGTTATAACGAAAGGTTGTTTCATAAATTAGAAGCCATTCATGAAAGAAAAAATACTTTTCAAAACAAGTATTTTGACTTTGTCAAAACCACAGTGTTCAACTGTCAAATTTTATATTGGTTGCAACAGGCCACCCAAGTCCCTCTACAGTACATGTATGTAGAGCCACTGCTAATAGCAATATATTCATAAAAAAAAAAAAAGCTCAAACATGCATCACAAATGCAAGCTGATTCCAACTGGGTTTTTTTTTTTTTAAGAATGACCTGGTTTAAAGCTGAATGAATCCCTTGCTTCAGTATGACTAACTGTGACGTAATACAGCCAGGGAAGCATGTGCTACACCAAGGCCAGCTGGAGCATCACTAATTCACAAGCAATGCTCACTTGTCAGTCATGGCTACTTGTTCCAACATGGCAGATCCGGTGTTGCTTTTCCAGTTACCAGAGATGGATGTTCGCCTGAAAACAGAGAGGAAATTGGCTGTTAAATTACTATAGACTCAAGCTTTCAGTTTGGAAAGTAATTAAATTTAAACTGCAACAGACAAAAACGTTGTTGGAAGGTAATAATAACCTGCTGTTTTTTTTTGTTTTTTTTTTTTTTTAGCATAATTCAACCCAATCCCCATAAGTGTAATCTTTAGGTTTTGTTTACAACATTCCATTCTCAAAGAGGAGGACAGGGTTTTGGGAAAATAAGTGAACATATCAGGTCAGGAAAAATTGTACAAACACAATTAGAAAGCATCAAACTCACATGTAGGCTTTGTAATCAGTCCCGATTTTCTGGATCCTGATGTCATACTTGGCCTCTACAAATGGCTCTGTAGTGCAGTAGGTCTGAGTGATGGCCACTACACTCGCAATGTCCTGGAAATCACTCACGTTATCCACCTTTACCTACAGATAAATGACATGTGATGTAGATTTACAAAGTACTATGATGAAAATGTGTGTGTGTGTGTGTGTGTGTGTGTGCGTGTGTGGGCGTGTGTGTGTGTCCTTATACTTAGAATTTTGGTTAAAAAAATGAAATGATCCAAAAGGATCCAGTTCAATCAAGTCCATTGTATTTTCTTGTCAACAAATTCTCTCTTAACAATTTAAATAATATACAATTAAATAAAGGGGAATATTAATGTGAGCTCATCTTAAGGGAGGAAAAACAGCAGCAAAAGTTTTGAGCAAGAATAACATAAAGGATAGAGAAATATTCTTAAAAGTATCAGAAAGTACAACATATTGCGATACAATATGACCTGTGTCGTTTCCAAACCATCTGTCTTTAAACTTCTATCTTCTCTTTCTCTCTCAGTTTTGCTTTTGAAGTTGGGTATGAACATTTAAAAAACATTTGCATAACTTCTTTTTTTTTAAGCAGTAAAAAAACAACAACAAAAAACATTACAATACCTTTCCCATTCCAGAGTGGGCGTGTCCAATCTTCACCACCACTGGGAAATTTGGTGTTGTAATCTACAAAATAAAAGAAGTAAATGATCAGTGATACTGAGAGACAGAGAACAACAACTGTTTCTTTTTGTTTTGCAAATTATGAACCATTTGATTTAGGTAGCTGACAGTGAATACCTTTAAAATTAAGTCATTTTCATTTCATGTCAAAGGCTAAACATGAAGCTCATCAGGAATGGTTACAAGGTGGGGAAATATGTGTCTAATATATGGATGGTTCTAGATAGGGGCCAGTGTCCCTGTGGTTCCTGGCCCTTTTATGGGCCCTAAACTAAAATGAGCAAGCAGCTTTTTAAAGAAATTATTTCTTAATGAACAATATGTGATGCACCCCATTGGCTTCTAAGTCTGCTTAATGGACAAAACTCCACTGCTTAGCAAAAAGGTACTGAGGTTCATTGGAGCTTCACTACAGAACATTTGGATAACCAAATAGAAAGTCCAGAACTTAGCTGCATGAAGGTAATTAAACACACTATGTTCAGGAAAGACTGACTGTGGACATCGCTCCGAAAAACACAAGTCCAGCAGTAAACTCTGGAGGTGTTAAGGCTCAGAACAGAAAACCCAGTGTTCAAAGCCGACAGACAGATTTCTCAAAAATTAAGTAAACAGATCTGCAGTGAACAGTGAGGGACGCCGTCGAGAGTCCCAGACGTTTATGTCCTGCCAGCTAGAGAACAGCCAGGAGATCAGAACCGAGCAGACGAAGGAAGGCAGGATAATCCAGAGTGTGAAGCCGGTGTCAATGATGTGTTCAGGAGTCAGAGCCAAGAGATTAGAGATCGAAAGAGGCACTAAAGGGACATCCAGGACAGTATAAGGAATCAGCTTCGTGTTTGGTTAACAGGCAGAATCCAGCAGAAGTCCGAGGACAGGTCAGGCAAATAGATCAGAACGGGAATATGCAGGCTCAGTGGTCCAAGGCAAAACGGGTCAGGATCAGGTAATAAGAAACACTTAGATACTCTTAAACTCTCATCAAGGGCTAAAATAATCTTGTACTGATGACTGGTAGAAAGCAGGTTAAATAGAGGCAAGAGCAGGTGGATCAGATGACCAGTAATGATAACTGAGCTGAGCTAGGCAAGTAAAGGAAATGAGTAATCAGGCCAGTCATCAGCGCCAAAATCATTACAGGAGGTGTAAAGTCTAATTCATATTTTCTGTGAAATTCTGTTTTATTACACACCATAAGGAACAAATTAATCTTAATGTATTGTGTATATGTAGATTACCTGAGTTGATCAACATCTACTTTAGCCTTAAAATTCTCCTTAATACACTCATATTTGATAAATATATATATTTATTGGCAATAGTTGCAAAATACTTTTGAAGGGAATGATACTAGTTATCAGTTTCAGATGCAGCTGAACAAAAGGTTAAAAACTACCCTGACTAAAGAGGAGTGAATATAAATTGTTGCAATTAATCTTCTATTGAAAAGGTTACGTTTTATGTGCTTGAATGCAACCTTTGGAATTTTAGAGAAAAGGATTGCTTTTCTTTGAGAAAATAAAATAATTTAACCCTTAACTGAATCTTTGCAGACATCTGAATGATTAGGCCACTGTAAGAGTGTTTGAAGGAGCTGACAACCTTCAAAAGAGGGCATAAGAAGAAGCCAAAAGATGCCAGCCTTTTCCCCTACATTTCAGGAGGCTGTCCCTAAATTGTTGAGCACATAAGAGGATCCCTGTGTGCGACCCTCTCAGCATTCAAGGCCAGAGTGTGAGGGGATTGGGCTATTGTGAGCCTCTCTGTGTGTTGTCTAGAGAGGGGGGGAGCAAGAAAGAAGAGAAAAGAGAGCAGCAGTAGCCTTCAACTCGAGTTATTTGCTGAGGCTTGAATTCAGAGGTGCACTTTAAACTTATGAAAACATTTCTATCCACAGCTGCCTCCCAGCTCTCCAGAGCTTCTCTTATCTCTTCCACCCTCCTGTCTTTTTCTCCACACACCCACCCTGCCGACTGTCGACCTAACCTGCTTACTTTGGAAATCAACAGTGCAAGAAGAGGCTACAGAGCATTCATCAAGTGGCCGAACAGTGAAAGGTAGCCAGAGCTGTCATGGCTGTGTCCCAGGACAGGAGTGCGTGTCTGAGGCTGGTGGTGCTTCTTTTGCTTGGTGTCGGCATGGAGGAAGTTGTGGAGGGATGTAGCTGCAACCCAGCACACCCACAGCAGCTCTTCTGCAGTGCTGAGATTGGTGAGTTAATAAAATAACAATTGGTAAGCCTCCCTGCAGTGATGTAGAGAAATGCTTCAAAATGAAAGGAGCACCTTTCTTTTGTCTTTAACTGCTTTTAGTATTGATCAAATTGGATTTATTTGTAGAGGTGGTCGAGGCCAAATCCATTATTTAAAACCTATCCAGCAATAAATAATAGCTTATCTTAACCATTTAAACAGCGCATGTTAAATTTACACTCAGCTGAATGACATATTACATGCCTTTACTGATTGCTTTAAATAAAACATAACAACAGATAACTCTTTGTTATTGTGTGAAACAGATTCATGCCACCATTCTGTGGCATAAATGTGACAATTTATGCATTTTATATCTTTCAATCTTATAGAAACAACAATTTTACTCCATGGATAAACAAAGCCAACTATCTGTCTTTCTCTCTGTCCAGTTTCACCCCTACTATTTTTTCCTTCTCTAAGCTTTGGCCAAAACTAACACTCTGCTTTGAATTTGAGTACTTGGCTCCGGAGAGTGGAAGGCTTGAGTATGTGCTGCTGTCAAAGGTTAAACTCCAACAGGGGAAGAAGATAAAAAAGAAAGAAAAATCTATCTCAGTCTTGATTTCTTAATTACTTCCAATGCCCATCAGTTTTAGAGGGGGAGATTATTTGAAAGAAATGTGAAAAGGATCCTGACCTAAATTAAATCTGGGTTATGGACGTGATTGGAGCTTTTAAGATCTTGTTTTTGTGACAGTATATTGCACATCAGTTTTGCCATTAATGACTTAGAGGAAGGTCCACCAAGTACATTTATTCTAAATTCTAAATGATGCTGTTGTCAGGCAGACTTTGAAAAAACTGACATAAATAAATCTAAAGCAGCAGAACAGAATCGGAATTCTACAGAAAGCCAGGAACTTCATGTCAGCTTTTATGATCAAGGATGCATTTGTCTGTAAGCAACTACAAAACAATTCATCAGAAAATTTTTAAAAATACTTTGACATAAGCAAAATGAATCAAAAGATAAATAATGTTTTGAAGCAAGCAATCAAACTGGCTTGCTTCAATAAAATAAAATCCTTCAAACAAAGTGTGGTAACGTCTATTCTATCACAGTAAACAATCAAGGCACTTATTGCATATTTCAACTCTATAATTACACTAGAAAAACATTCAGTTTTGTTGAATTTTATACATAGTGAGTATTCATCAGTCCAGAAAGCCAACTTAAAGGTAGCTCTCTGACTGTGTGGCACACAAAGTAGATAAAGTAGATAAAAAGAAAACAAAGTACAGCTTTGAAAAAGTATAACGAATATGCTGTCTACATTTGTAAAACTGTTTTATGTGCTAATATTTAATATTTTATATTTTCATATTTTTTAATTGACTATCAGTTTTATTATTCTTCCTACACTTGCTAAGCCTGTAGTTTTTTAATAAAACCGGTGACAGCAAACCAGGACTGATGTACCAAAACATATTGTGACACTATGAATTTCACTTCCTTTATCCTACTTTGTGTGAAAGCAGCTTAAATTTACATGTTGAGAAATAAGAATAGTTAATAGCTAATAGACAGATTATTAATCTACTTTTACTTTATTTTATATATAAATAATTTATATAAAATTGGTTATTTAACTCAGAGCAGTTTGGAGACCTTCAACTGCTCAATTTACGGGTTATTTTTCTAGTTGCATTTCTAAACAAGACCTAAAATAATCCAACTTCCAAGTACAAATAAATACAGTATACATTGCATCATACAGAAAATTACTGTTATTTCAGAGGAAACACACTAAATATTAGATTTTTAAAGCAAACAACATCCCAGTTTGCATTTTGTCAGATCCTTTGGAAGTGCTACTCAAACACAAAGCTCTTCTGGTGTGCAGAAAGACTTGAAAACCAATATTCTACAAACTTGCATGGATGAGAGAATGAGGAATAGTAGATACCTAGCTTTTGCAAAGATGTTGATAGGATGTTATTCTTCACATGAGACACTGACAGAAGATATAGAGTGTACAGTATTTATCATAACTTCTGGTCTAAGTGGTTGCCTTAGTAAAGCCTGTGTTTGGAAGATATTAAAAACAAATGTTATAGTTTAGATAGCCTCCCAAAAAGTAACTGAGATTGTAACTCAGTTACTGAATTACTAACCAGTTACTTCACATCAAGGTAACTAGTTACCAGTCATAATAGCTATGCTTGAAGTATTTGGATAGCTTTCCTTTAATCAAAACTTTAAATATCACTGGAAGTGCGATTATGAAATATAAGAAGTTTAATATTAATTGATCAATCAAATAATGATATGAAATAATATGAAAACACTGTATTATAATGTGTGTGTGATGGAACAAGTGACTTTCACTATAATGATTTAGATGTGTTTATGTTTTTTATTTATAACAAAGAAACAATAAAGCAAATTAGATGTTTTAGAACTTTACTATATTCTTCCCATTCTTCAACTGGCTTTAAAATAAGTTGAAAGGTGAAAAATAATGCTTTTTGAGCAATTTACTTAACTTGGAGTTAAATGGGGTTTACACTTTTTTTTAGAAGAAAAGCGAATAACACAGAAAATAGAGGGCAACATGTGGGCAGCAAACTGTCAGTTAGAGTAAAGAAGATTTAAGAAGCTGCTTTAGTTTACAGAAAAAAATCACAGAAACATTTAGCCTTTAACTTCAGTGAGCACTTTCCTTGAGAAACACTCTCACTGAATCAGATACCATTGTCTTTCCTCTCATTCTATGGTCAAGGTAAACTAAACCCCTGTCCACATTGCAGCTCCTCAGCCAATCCGCGCCATGCACTGTATTTCTTGAGCACTGCTAATTTGCTCCGCCCTGCAGTAAAAAATCTCTCTCTGCAGCAGAAAAATTGCTAATGAAAAGTCGTTTTGATTTATAGAGTTGAAGCAATGTGCTGCATTAGACTGAAAATAAAGTAGGGATGTTACCAATATGGAAAAACAAAGTTACTAATGGTGTTATTTTTTTTTTTACGCCATTTCACCCAACACTGATTACAGCAATGGATAATCAACAACAACAACAACAAAACTTAGTCTCAGCTTTTTGTAACATCCTTGCACATCAGCATTTGTTTATTTTGTATTTTTGCAGAGTTTCAGTTGATTTGGAAAGTATACTTTTGTCTCTCCCTGCTAAGGTCCTGTGCAAAGTCAACACAACAAATAACTTCTTGGGATAACACTATTTTTTTTTAGGTCAGGGTCTTAAAAAGATAACCTTTCTTATTGATGCCTTTTGTTAAAGCCAATTAAAACTCAACTTTTTAATCTATCAAAGGAAGTTGAACTCATATAAAAATGTCTCTTTTAAAAGACAGCAGACCAATTAGTAAAAAGGAAAACCTTTATGTTATCTCAAGGAAGTATTTTCTCATTGCTGTCTAAGATGAGAAGTCAATGACTTCTTTACAAGGAAACACATTTGAATTGACATAAAAAAGTCAAACTAAAATATAAAATCTTGTATAAACTTAGCAATAGCAATCAACAAAGATATTTCACTTAGCTCGAAACTAATGGAAAATAGGCCCCAAAAAACTCCTTTATTTGTGTGCTACGATAGGCTTGGGTTTGTTTTGGTGTTAAATGTCTTAATCCCTTTCTGATTAAACGATATCTTTTTATATTGGAAATAGCTGTATGTATCCATAGAGCATTTTGAGGGAAACATCTTATTTCCTCCTGTCTGTGTTCACATCATCCTGGCTGTTTTCTAAGCTTAGGCCAGTGGTGGCCTTAAGTTGACCTGACAGTGCTGTCAGAGTCTACAAGCTTACTGAATGAAGTTGTACATCAGAGTAATATCTCAATGTGTGCAGAAACCCTGGATGATTCTCTGGTCAATGTTTGTCTGTTTAACTGTGTGTGTATTTGCTGGACGGAGGCCAGTCTATGCCAACGCAGCCACTCCATCTCTCTCTTTCTTACCCTCTCACTCCCCTCCTCATTTCCATGTCTATAGGCTCCGTCTGATGGTCTGCATACTAACAATATCGGTGTGAAAGCCCGCTGACAGTCCAGCTTTGTGAGCATGACAAGGGTGCCGATTCATCTGGGAGGGGGAAGTTACTTACTACATCAGTTCTCATGGTAGAAGTTTGCAATATTTCTCTTTGGTGATGAGGCTCTGCAGCACTCAGATTCTGCAGGTGTGTTGGCTTTTCTAAGTGCACGGAACAGCTGCAGCAACTGAAATGAATAACTTAGGCATGTGGAATATACTTTTGTTGAAGGAAATACTTTCAGAAAATCTTTTCGAGAAAAATCCTTTTTTAGCCAGAGAGAATATTTAAAACTGTTGCTGTCCATTTAGAGCAAGTTATTAAAGAAAATGACATCTTAAAAACATTAATACATAAAAATGATCACACTAAGGTGGAATTGGTTATATCTTGTGAAGGGGAACATGAAAATCATCTTAAAACAAATATGCATCAACTGTATAAAAATGTATTTTTCGAACTTTAGAAGGGTACGTTTAAGGCTAGCCTGTAAATTTGCTTGAAGGAAGCACATCAAACACACTACTCTCTTGTGTGATATTGTGAAAGATTAATTTAGGAAAGATCTAATATCTAAAATGTGGGTCATCAATACTATGTCTAGCTGATCTTATGGTACCACCTCCAGATGCCTTAAGGTGCCTGATTAATCTGGTTAAAAATGATTTTGTATTTAAGTATTAAAAGAACAAGACAAGTACAAGTCATCATAAAAAATTGGCAAGGTAGCAACTTCTGTGTTGCAGAGATGAATGTGTTTTGATGTGATCAATCCACACACAAAAGCAACATACCTTGTTAAGATGCTGGCTGATGGTTGTTTATGTATATGCATTTAGCATAAAGTTGCATTTAGTTATGTGATATTACAGCTATTATACTGGCAAAAGAAATCAGAGAGGAAAAACAAATACACCAAAAATAGACAGAAAAATGTTAAAATGTTAATGACATTTTTGGAAAAAAGGAAGATTTTAAGCTTTTAAACACCATCCTGATGTTAAGAGTAGAGGCTGTGTAGATGCTTAGCTGTAGGAGGGATTACTGCACTTCATGAAATCATGAGGAAATAAATCCATGTAGAAATATTGATATAACTTTTGAAGGGATTAGGGTAAATCTTAAAGCTCTAGAAGGAAATAGATCATCCAAACTTCTGATCATTGACTCTGATCATACCACCAGATTTAAGACACAACTGGCATTTACACAATCTAATTCCCATTAAAACTGTGGGCAGCACTGCAAAGATGCATTATGGCCAGGTGGAGAAAAAAAGAAAAAATGTTGTTAAAGCTCTTCTGTTAAAATGAATGAGCCAAACCTCAAGGAAAATATGTAATTGAATATGAGGAATTTCATGACCAAAGTCATCTAAATGTGTCCTTTACACCTGTTTATGCAAGTGTTTCATTGTAGCAATAGGTATGGTATGGTATAAATAGAAATAGTATTTAAAGTCTGTTTCTTTTGAAATTTTAGCCACTTATTTACTCACGGCTGATAAAACTATTTTAATTAATTATGCAAATGTGGCACAACTTCAAAACATTGCTGGCAATGGAACCTGTTGGTACTACAGCCACTAAAAATCATATGCTGGCAACAACATAGGCTCAGCTTACACAGAGATTACATAATATCTGGATTCAATGTGCTTACAAAGCATCTTTTTTTATCTACATCTATTTTTTTTTTATATTTTAATGAGCAAAAACATTTTATAGTAAATAAAAAAATGCACTTTTGTTTTATTACTTCTCAAACTGTCAAGGTTTGGTGGAAGTTTTTGAGGACCCAAATGTAGAGATGAGTTTGCAGATTTAATGGAATTAGTGGCAACAGAAATATGAATCCAGACTGAATGGGCAGGGGACTTAGGAACTAAAACAAGGAGTCTCTGGGGAGGAACATACATAGGAATGAAGAGAATCTAGCAATGAGGAACTGCAGAGGTGGGGATCAGAACAAAGAATGGGCTAATGGGCTGATATGGAGCAGGTGTGGATAGAAGTAACTAGAAGGGAGCCAAGGGGAAAGGAAACTAGCTCCATGGGACAACAGAGAGTAACACAAAAACATTGCCAGAAATCAACTACAAAAACACAAAATTATACGGAAACTAAAAATAAACCTGAAAAAAATTGAAGGACCCAAACAAAAATCATAAAAATCATAATAAGGCAGTAGGCTTAACAATTAATAATTTACATATTTCATAACATGAAATGAAATATTGTGTGTAGACAATTTTATGGGTCAGTCTAGGGTCGATCAAAGGTTAAAAATAGCTCTGTTTTTTCTTAAACATTTGGTTTATTGAAAAATGTTATTAAATTTGTAAAAATGCATTGTTTATCTAAATATGTCACTGCAGCAAATCTAAACTGGATGTTTTTAAGACTCTGCTCCAAAAGAATGAATAAAATACTAAAAAGTTAAAGAAAACAGATTAGTTATTTGATATTTTCTGCAAAGACAACATGTCTGAAGCAGCTGTATCTGAATGGGCAATGTTATACTCAGATTACACCTTTAGGCGTTTGTTTGCTATTCTATCCACTTGGTGTTCAGCAAATAAACAAGAAGACTGCTTGGCCTGAGCTAATTTTACAAAACGGCCTGAGCTCCTCCTCCTCTTACCAACACAAAAAAACCGTGGCGTAGTTATGTGTTGACCCAAAAGGAAAACCAAGTGGGTGGTTTGCTAAGCCGTGTTTGTGAGGTTCACTCCGCTTCTCCCACTCGCTATGCTTTCATGGTGTTACTCGACCCACTTCTGGCTCTTCTCTCCCTTTTACCAGTTTGAGACAGGGTCACCTACAGCTGTACTCTTTTCCTTTTAACAAAGCAAGATTTATACTTTTTTTCTGGGAACTGCAAGATTACTTAAATATGTTTAACTACAGAATATAATTTTGCATTTGTTTTCAGTTTTTTTTTAAATGACTTTAGCCTTTTTAAATGTAATCTTGCTGCTAGTTTCTTTCACTACAATAATCAAACTAAGCAAACCAAATGGAAACAATCTAGCATTAATTACACGCTTCTAAAATAAAAAAAATGGACATACACGAATATAGTCAAAAATCCTAGCAAATGAGAATAAAACGAATAAATGACAAAAAGACTAACTTTATGGGTTTATTTTTAACAGCATAGGTTCAAGATGTATTTAAATGCTGAAAGATATTATAGGTAGGGATGTCCTGATTCAATTTTCTTCATTTCCTATACGATATCTATGTTGCAGCTTTGAATATTGACCAATACTGATAGCCGACATACTTTTATTACTGATTTTGTTGTTTAGAATGTCAGAAAAGGCTTGATCAAGTAACATAACAACAGCAAAAAGAGGTGACAGCTGACCCTTTTGTTTTTTTAATCAAGCCTTTGTTTTAAATCAAGCCTTACATAAACTACACAGATGTTCAAAGAAACTAATTGCTCTCCTACATCCACCTACGCCACAGCAAATCAGCTTTAAACAACACCTCAACGAAAGCCAATCGGCATCCAAATTTAATCTTGAAAGGCCTTTGATCCGCAACTCGTCTGCTACGTAGTGCACAGGCAGTGGTTGCTCTGTGTGACTTCATTCAGATGTCCCCGTTTCCACCCACCTTCAGCCCATCCTCCACCATCGTAGCTAAAGCTTCATCAGAATGTCATTCCTCCCGGACTCTTAGTGCATTCCGCGTCTCATTTCAACTGGTCCGGCAGAAGACTGCCATGTTGAACCTGGTTCTGCCAGAGGTTTCTTCCCTCTCCATTGTCACTTCATGCTTGCTCATTATGGACAGGTTCTCTCAACCTGTGTTATCCAAACTGGACTTCCATCTTCCAGGTCCCTGAGTGAAGCTCTAGTGTCAGCTCACGCAGTTCACTGGATCTCCCCATAAAGCTCAGCAGACCGTCTCGCTAACCAGCAGTCTACAGACTGACCAACTTTATCTATCTCCACCCCAACACTAGTTTCAGGCCTGGATGGGAAACATCCCTGTTCTTTACTCCTGTTCATGCATATCTATCAAAATTCACCGCTATGTTTCCTGCCGAGGTCTGAGCGCCAGACACCAAGTAATTGTATCAATAAATTTCTTCTTATTGTCTTTTCTCTTCATGGGAGTTTTTGAGATTGAAATAGATGTCAGATCAAGACTTCCCCAAATGTTTGTCATACAGCGACAGATAGAGAGCATGATGTGTATATTTACATTTCATGTGTGGTTTAGAAACAGCTCCTTTTCCAGAAAAACTAAAACATTGCTCTGGTGAGCCTTGATAATGTCAGTACTGTGACAAGACTCATCTAGCTTGAATTAGAGGAGGATTTCGATGGCATGAGTGTGTGGTATGAGAAAAGTTCATTTTTATTAATAAAACCATAAATGTTAGATTTACTTTACTGATTGTTGACTAAATCATGAAGTCTAGTATGCCCTTATATTAGACATAGTGTATTAGTGTGTCTCGAGTTTGCGAGGATACAACGAGCAGAGAGCTACTTGTTATTCCATGAGAGTTTTAAATTTCCTCCCAGAGGACAAGAGTGACACATCCTGTATCACTACTGAGAGGCTGCGACACCGTCAGTGTTGGGAGGAAGAGGAGTGACAAACAAAATGGGAGCAAAGGAGGAGGGACACAGATCTGCTTTGAATCAGTCCACTTATATCAGTAAATAAAGGATATTTTTCATGTAAATGATATCCTGGTTTTCGCATTAATTTTTTTATTCTAATACATTTTAACCCTTCCTCCTGTCAGCCTTTCTTTTCTTTGTTTTTTTCCTAACAGTGATAAGGGCAAAGATCTCCGGAGAGAAGATTGTGTCGCCTAGCAACAGCTCCTCACCTTACATGAAGATGATCCAGTATGAAATCAAAATGATCAAGGTTAGCTCTGTGGACAACACCGTCACCTGTTGATGATGGAGATTCAAATCCCTTTGCTGTGAATGCTACCGCTCTGTATGTACATGTCAGCAGGGACAAGGTTTTGTTTGTCTAAAAGTAAATAAAATGAGTGATGCCACTGGCATTTTAAATGTCTTGTAACGAAACATCCTTTAATATACAACTTTCTTATCCCTTTCTTTAAGCTAGAGAAAAAGGGATTGTGGAGAAATATTTTCAAATCTATCAACTTCTATTGAAATAACTTTCCATCTTGCAGTGACCAGAATTTATACCCAAAGTTTTAATCCTTAAAATTAAAAATAGCCTGGAGTTAAAACTGCCCATTCACTATCCCATCCACAGAGAATCTTTCAGGTTATTTAAAGCAAAACACAGCAAAACACCTTTCTTCTGTTTTTTTGCTCTATTTACATTGCAGTGTCCATATAAACTGTAAAACTCCCTGCATAATTATAATAAAGCAATTTATATGCATGAAACAAGTGGAGCAATATGGCAATTGCCATACTGTTACACTTGTGAAAGTAAAATCTGTTGGGCTCTTGTTGGCACCAAGACAATTATTCTTATTGCCACATTGCCAGACAGGACACTGTAAAAAAAAAAATAATAATAATAAAATAAAAAAAATAAAGCAAAACGCTTAAAGATTTATATAGGAGATTATATATTAATTGACCTGTTTGCCCCCAATTTTGTATCAAAATACGATACATTTGGCATTATAGGGTTAACAATAAAATCATAAGGAAACAACCTTTAAGTTGCTGGACTAATATTATACATCAAATGTGTCATACTTGATGCCTGTCTGTCAGATCCAGTCCACAATTCCAAAAAGGCTTAGCCATTATGTTATAAAGTGTCCTGATTGTGGACCAGTGGACCAGTTCTACACACTCTGCAGGGTGCTAGAGGGTTAATGGGCAGTTGCCCAAATGCTCCACATGATTTTTTGGACCAGGAAAAGGCATTCCACTATGTCCCTTGTGGTGCCCTGGGGGATGCACCAGGAGTCGGGGCCCTTTACTAGGGGCCATCCAGTCTCTGTAAAAGTGGAGAAGGAGTTTGGCCCACATTAAGTCACAACCAAGGGCTGGAAGGGGTCTGGTTTAGGGACCAGCAGATTACGTGGTTCTGCTGACTTTCTCCTGACAAGCCATATATCATACACTTGGGCGGTTCACAGCTGAAATATAAGCAGAATTAGAATCAGCTCGTCCAAGTCCAAGGCCTTGGTTCTTGACCAGAAAATGGTGACTTGTCCCCTTCAGGTTCGAGGAGATTCCCTGCCTCGACTTGAGGAGTTTAAGTATCTTGGGTGCCTGTTCACAAGTGAGGAGAGTTAGGAGTGGGAGATTGGTAGATGGAAAAGTGCACCTGCTATAATAATGCTGATACTGCACCAGTCTGTCATGGTGAAAAGAACTGAGCGAACAAGCAAAGCTCTTGATTTACCGGTCGGTCTACGTTCCAACCCTCATCGGTCATAAAATCTGGATCATGCAGAAAGAACGAGATCCTGGATACAAGCGAGAGAAGAGCTTCCTCCATAGGGTGGCTGGGCTTTCCCTTAGAACAGGAGGAGGAGCTTGGTCATTCGGGAGAGGCTTGGAGTAGAGCCTCTTCACCTATACATGAAGAGGTGTCAGCTGAGGTGGCTTGGACATCTTTATTCGGATGCCACCTGGACGCCTCTCTCGGGAGGTGTTCCGGGAATGTCCAACTCAGAGGGGACCTTGAGGACGATCCAGTAGGACGATCCAGGAGGACGATCCAGGACATCTCGGGTGCCCTGGGAAAGCCTCTGACTTCTCCAAGAGGTGCTGGAGGAGCTGTCTGAGGATAGGGAGGTCTGGGAGTCTGTGCCGCCCCCTTTACCCGGTACTGGATGGAGTGGGAGAAGGCGATATTGCCTCTTTTTTTTTTTCAATAAATGGCAAAATTACCTTAAATTTTTATTAAAAAAATTATGCATAATAAAAACGTGACTTTTAGAGGGATTTTTAACACCAGCAAATGTAGAGAGTTTTTGAAGGATGCATTTTAATGAGTCAGTTTGCAAACAAATGTTGAAAGGTGCAGATTGCACTATTTAAAAATAAATATTGCTGTGAATTTTTTAAATATTTATTTAATAGAGGTAGACAACCTTAACTTTTTCTCTGTTTTCTAGATGTTTAAAGGTTTTGATAGAGCCAAGGACATCCAGTATGTGTACACCCCCGTCTTCTCCTCACTCTGTGGAGTAAAACTCGACTCCAATAATAAAGCAGGGTATCTGCTCTCAGGTACAGTCTGCTTCCGCTTTTTCATTATTAGATGTGCAATAGAGCTATGTGGCATAGACACATCAATGTTATTTATTTCCACAGGAAACAGGAAGTAGAGAAAAAAATATTACAGTTAAAGATGCATTGATCAGTTTTTAGTTCTAATATTCTCCCTGAAGATTATATGAAATACACAGTCAATGGTGAAAACTATAACTCAGTATAATATTTACAGGGCCATCCACAGCTATTAGCAACTCAGGAGAGATATGAAAAAAGGTTTCTAAACAATTCTTGCACTGGATACTTTGTCAAGATGCCAGTTTTATCCTTCTGGATTTAGTCATCATTAGACTGGTGACTTCACTAGTATAGCTATATTATCACTTATCAAAACCAGCACCAAACTCAGCACCATCCCCATCTTATCCATCTTAAAAAGATAGGGCTTGTGTGCCACATCATATTTTTGCCCTATATCATAACATAACATAAAGCCAAAAATGTTCAGCTAAAAGTTACCAAACATCCGATCTATAAAGCATACAAAGTCAGTTTACTTAGTCTGAGGAGTTGAATCATTAAAGGCACAAAGTATTTTATTAAGAAGCAAAAATCTTACTGTAGGATTGTTTTCCCTGTTTACATTAAACATAGGGTTTTCTGTTATTTTTAAAGTCGAGATTATGTGTCAGCATTAAAGATGTTAGGTCTGTTTACACATCTATAACAGGGTTGAGTTTAAGTAAGTGCATTTTTGTGATTTTAAGTGTTGAAGAAGAAAGAGAAGAAATAATTACTAGATTATCTCCTGTTGTGCATCAAATAATTTGCCTTTCATCTTAATTATTAAAAAAGGCAACAAAGCTACAGCCTAATTACTCAGATATGACATGAAGGATGTAATTAAAGTTTTTGTTTACTGCTTTAACAGTGTTTTTAGTTTCAGAAGGCTGTTGGATTAATCGCTTGTTATTGGGTTTGTCTGATCAGGAAGCATGTGGAGCGATGGACGGATTTCTATTGGCCAGTGTGACTTAGTGGAATCCTGGGACAACTTATCGCTGTCACAAAAAAAGAACCTTAACTACAGATACCAGATGGGTTGTGAATGCAGGGTGAGTTTAATTAATTTCAATTCACTTCAAAAATATTTTATTAATCCCAAAGTATTTCAAATCTTTGGAGAAATTAACTAATTAGCTAATAGTAACTACTAGTATATTTTTTTTTACAAGTGTATTTGTTTTTACCTTTATATAATTATTCATACCTCTTGATATCGATCTGATATTTTACATTGACAACCACAAAATGTTCCTTTTTCAATTTATGTATTATTCGAGCATTAAGAGTTTCTTCATTGTGACACTGAAGGAAAACTATGCTTTTTTTAAAATATATTTCGCAAATATAAACAAGACCATGCAACACAACAGAGATATGAAAAACATTTTAAGTTGTGAAGAGATGTAACAAAATGAAATTAATAAAGAAAAAAACTAAATCTGAAGCTCTTGCAGTGAATCCAAGGGGCCATGCTTTTTTTTTTGCAAAAACAGCAAGAAAGCCACGAAATTCTTTTTCAAGATTTAGTATCAGCCATTTATGAGATCAAAAAGAGGTATAGTGGAGGATGTTCTTTTTCCGGGTGGATCATCAAAATAAGTGGTCCTCCTAGTTGTCAATGATTGTGGTGATATGTTTACATAAGGCTGTCCTATGTACTCATCCCCATTTTCTCTTAACAGTGGTGAGTCTGACATAGTGGAAAAATTGCAAATCTTCTTTTGGAAAAATGCAAACAGCAACTTTTAAACAGAGCGTGCACGAGGAGAAATGTTCTCCTGCATGCTCTTGTAAACGTTTAATAGGCGTTCCCTCTCGGGAGCGGGTATATAGGGTTGTGCATGTGCATTTTTTTCTAACTTGGAGAGTTAGGGTCTTTTAAAAAAAAAATTGCAAAGATCCTCCACTATACCTTTAAGTGGTGTCTTTGTAATCTTTGCTAAAAATGTTTTTGTTTTTTTTGGTAAAGCAGCTTTTTTACACTTAATTATTCGTACAGTTAAATGATATACAATACGAGTGACAAAAAAAACAAACAATCTCAAGTTCTCTGAATATTATCCTAATAATTTTGCTCTCTCATCAGATCAACACATGCTACACGGTACCATGTGTGTCTACAGGTGAGAACGAGTGCCTGTGGACAGACTGGCTGCTTGATAACAGTCTGAATGGGGAGCAGGCTCGGCAATATGCCTGCATCCGACGATCGGACACGAGCTGTAGCTGGTATCGGGGTGGGCCTCCACCTGAGAAGGACTTCTTGGACATGACTGACCCGTGATCTGTAACCCTGACTCCTGAAATCTCTTAAGAAAATCCCAACCCTGCTTCTGGCATATTTAGCATGCAGAGTAGCAACTAAAATGAGTTAAAAGTTATCACATATTCAGACCTACTGGAGTAAAAGCTGCCTTTAAGCTACTGATTCCAAATTACCGGCAGCGATCCAGCAACAGGAAAATTACTATTTTTGACTCATTTCACAAATTCCACTACATACGTTTTTACTGAGTGAGAACAGGGACAGTACATGTACAGCAAAACGTTACTTTCTGACTGAAGGGTTCCTACATAATTATAAATGAGCTCCTGTTACAAAAGCCCTATAATTATTTGTATGATGTACAATTGATCAAGTAGCAATTAGAGTTCTGAATTTACAGAAATCCAAATGGAAATGTTTAAAAACACTAAAATAATCTTTCTTGCAACATCATTGCAAAGTCTAATCATGTACAAATAGACTGCGAGCTCATGACAGTGCAATACTAAAAAATGAACAGATGTTGAATATACTGTACTTTGCGAACGTTTTAGGCTCTTAAACTGAAATATAAATTGAATGATATGTCATGAGAGAAAAATTGTAATGCAATTATACAATTCAAATGGATGAAATAAAAGGGACTTTTTCCACAATGATCTTTAAGGGTAAAGCCATTTTAAACACCTTTTTTGTTTGCCCTTTCTTTCTATTTTTTATTCACTCTGTTTTATAAATCTGAAGCTGACATGCTTAATGATTTTTAGATTTGAATATATATCTACAGTGCCTAAAGCCTTTGCATTTTGCAGTTTATGCAAGGAGAAGCAGCCCAAATTAACCACTTTTTTTCGTTGTGATTATTATATATTATATTATGCATTTCTTTAAAGTGAAACTCCTCATAGTTTTATTTCAAAATCTTGAGCTTGTAAATATAATATTGGAATTCAATTAACATTGTTATGGCTAACTATATGTTTTGTTTTTGCATAGAGGTCCTTATCCTGCTTTTTTTCCTTCGTGCAAATCCGTCCTGTTTTTTTCTGGTGCCAAAAACCCAATCCAGCACCTAGACAAAAGCACTGCCACCTAGAGAAGCCAAGCCTTTGTTCCTTAGGAGAAATGATATATAACAGGACAAGATAACATTTCTTAAATCCTTGAAAAGGATGGCAGACTGCTTGTTTCTTTGTTCTGAAAATTTGCTGAATAAATAAAGGACAGGAGTCTGACTGGACTTGAATTACTTTACATAAATTATACAGATTATAAGGCATTATCCCTTGTTCTTACATATGGTGCTGTGTTTTCACTCTTACTTATTACATCTGTTTTTTGTGTCTTTTAAAAACAATTTAAGATCATGAAGTAAATTCTAATATCAAACTTAGATAGCCTGATGAATATAAAGTGCAGTTTATAAAAGATGATTTACAAGGGGAAAAAATTACCTGAACCTACCAAAACCTTGTGAAAAGTTTATTGCCATGTAAATCTTGTACACACTTTCACCACCTGTAGTGAAAACAACTACCATCCAGCATTTGGAACGACGATAATCCCAATGGAGCAAATTCTTATACTTTTCTTTGCAGAACCATTTTATCTTGGCCACATTTGAGGATTTCTGAAGAAGAAATCAGTTTAAAGCAAGCCTAGAGGAATTCAATTGGTTTAAAGTCCAAATTTTGACTAGGCTTATTCAAACTCCTCATGGGCATTCCTATTGTGCTTTGGATCATTGTTCAGCAATATAACCTAGTTGCCCTTACCCTTACTTTGTGCAGGCCAGCTCCTCCTGGGAATATTTCCCATGATTCCATGTTTTTTACATATGTGGATAAGAACTCCCAAAACCATAGAAATGTCCTTCTAATTCCCTCTAGACTGATCAATGCCAATGAACAAAGCAGGATCTGATTCTAATTGAGGTTTCAGTATACACACTATCATTTATAAATGGTAAATAGATTATTTATTAATGATTAACAGATAAAAAGTGTTTGATACCCGTAATTGTTTATAAACTGCATCTAAACCGTTTATAAAAGGTAAGTAGATGATATTGCCCTGCCATGTTAGTTAAGCCCTAACCCTAACATCAGCAGACTTTAGATCTGACCCAAGCCTTTATTTCTAATTTAACTTTCCCTTTCATGTTGGACCTAGCCACTAATAAATGATCTACTTACCTTTTAGAAATAGTTTGGATGCGCTTCGTAAATGATTATCAAACATTAGAAAACTATCTGTTAATTATTAATAAATTACCTCTTTAGTGTTTATAAATGATGGCTTTCTCAGTAATGTCATACAGGTTTTATTTAATAGGTTTGTTTTATAGAGGCTTGGATGTGGATGGTGAAATTTAAATCTGACCGGTTGAAACAGTTAAACTTATCAAGTAAATTTGGATTTTTAATAATTTTTTTCTCACATGCGACAGGTGATTTGTTTAAATGCCCTTTACCCCCAATTAATTAATAGGAAAAATGCTTTTTTTACTCACTATATTTTTTTTATCTGCTAAAGTATGATAATATTTTTATCTGCACTGTTGTACTTGGTAGGACTGGTTAATTTAAAGTTAAATTCAGCACTGTAATATTTACATTTCATGTAACATTTTTATCTTAGATATGAGAAAATAGCTGAAATCTCAACCAATTTAAACACTCAAACATACCTGTTAGTTTAATCATTCAAAGTTACTAATGCATAATCATACTATGTGATTTAAATTTCTGTTTTGTTTTTTTACAGAAAAATGTTTGGGTTTGTATTTAAGTCTCTGTTTCTGTCTACATAAAGTTTTCTATCTTCATGTACCAAAAAAATGTATATAAAATGTCTCAGTGGAACATTGTGTCACTTCGTCTTTGTTCAGAAACACATATCTAACATAATGCCCTGAAAAAAAAATCTAGAAATAAGTGAAGACTTAGACAGATTTATTTGTCTTTTTTTTTTTTTTTTGTAAAACATAAAGAAATTTCATTTAGAACAGCTCTCTGGACAATTTCATTTTTTTAAAGTGTAGCCTTGAAAAATAGTAATAAAGGTGTATTTAGCTTTAATTTGAGCAGGTAAATAAGATTATTTGCCAATAGAATTAGTTTTTTTACTCTTAAAATAAGATAATTACATTATATGCACTTGAAATAAGAGAATACAGTTGATTTTGCTTATTTCAAATGTAAATTGTCTTGTTCCATTGGCAAAGTGTCCCACTTACCTCCTCAAGTCAAGAAAACGTTCACTCATTTTAATAAAAAAAATGACTTCTTGAGATTTCAATTTTTTGCAGTGTAGGACCCATTAAGGACAGATAAATGAAATTATTAATTATTAATTATGATGGAATGAAGGAGTCAATACACATAGCAATTTTTATATGTATATGTATATATAATTCTTATGATTAAAATGTATATAGCAAACATTTAATAAAATGTTTGATATAAATGCAGAGGCCATAAGTGGCTATAAAATAAATATGACACTGAAAAATGAAGCCTTTCAATTGACGGAGCTAAAATAGAATACACCTTGTCGTAATATTAAACAGCGGTTACCACACTCCAGACAGCAGCCACCATGACTATTATCAAAATTCTATGCTTATAAAAGTGGACAAAAAAAAGTATATCATACAAACCATTTCAGTATAACTCAAGAAGTATAGTGCTTGGTATTGCATAACTATAAGGCATTGTTGTCTTTGTCCTGACAAATGAAAATTACAGCAACAATTTGCCTTCAACAAGTATAAAATATATTTGCTTTCAATGTAGGAACACTGTCATTGTCTTTGCTGGGCTATCTGTCTTATGTTGTTGTTGGACTCAGTCTATGTGCTGTGAACAGCCAATCACTTTACAAGTCATTGGTAGTGTAAAAAGTTACTTTGTAGGTAACGGAACAGCATTGCTGAAAAGTAAAATCTAACTTGTTGTACAGTATATCTCAGTATTAATAACTGCTATTTTTCAGTCACATATTCAGTATATGTGACTGAAAAAATAACACCGTTATTATATAAGGAATGCTTACTCTGAAAATAGTCGGATTACAAAACATCCCAGTCTCCATTGTGGTGTGCAAAGAAAAATTACATTTTTGGCAAAGGGAAAGTCGTGGCACACATGCACTTTAAATGCACTGTGTTCAGTAGAAATTGAAAAGGGAGTGTTAGTATTCATGTGAATATTGTTAAGGTTCAGATAATATACCACCAACTAGCTGTGGGGCAGGGAAATTAAAATGTTCAGGATTTGTACTTATGTTGTGTGCAAGATTGCTAATAAAATGCAATGCAGATATTTAATAAAGAATAAAAAAAACACTTCTGTTTTTCAATGGAATGTTCTGTGCACAAAGCCTCATGCTTGCTAAAAAAAATAAAAATAAAATAAAAATCCCAGTAAGACTCTGGCACATTTCTGGCTCAATAAAAAAGGTGTGTTTAGAATAAAATGAGTGGCTCCTCTTTCTTAGCACTAAATCACTCATTTACACTATAAAAAACACATTTATATCACTAATGAGTTGAGATGAAAAATTATAGGCCTCGGCTCCAAGATGGCTTCATAAAGCCTCAGGTGAAATTATACTTTTCCTCATTAATGAACTTAATGACACTAACGTAAATGAATTGCTTCAATTAAAAACTAGTAATTGAACCAAATTTATCCAACTTCATTTATCAAGTTTATAAGTTGGGTAAACTTAATTCAACTACTTGTTACCAATTGAAGCAATTAATTTAAGCTGGAGCTTTGTTTTCCTTTTAAGGTCCTCTAAATAACTTTAAAAGTTTGAGGAATCTAGTGAGCTATTTAAATATAAGAACATTGAAGCTATAAGATTGTGTTGGTAATAATGTGATATCAGGATTTTAGCAGTAATTCGTACTGCTACATAACATAACATCCAATCTTAACTATGATAGGGGCTTGTTGATGGCAACAGAACATTTATGTTGGCGGTGCTATCAATAAATAGGTGGCAAATATATTTACATTTCCTCTTATTTATAAAATCAAGGGAGTTTTGTTTGGTTTATATTCTAATTTTCCCTTTAAATTTGCTATTAAAAGTATAAATGTATAACCATGCAAGCAAACGTTTTCTGAAAGTGTCCATTTTCAAGTCGTTGGTTGCAACAGTGGTGGATGGAAATGGTGGTGGTTTACTAGTCTTGCTGCAGGCTGACTGATAACACACAACATGGAGTAAACTAGAAAAGCTTACCATGTCTCTGTAGTTGGGGTAGAAGGTTTGATTGATGAGAGGAAACTTATCTGAACCCAACACCTTCTGGTTGTTGATCAGCTGGGAAAACTGAAAGAGAGAGGGAAGCAGTTAAAGGAGAAACTCCTCCATACTAATTAATTTTTTTAACGTCTCATTCTGGTAATTGTACCGTAGATTAGAGTAAATGTTTTCCTCACATCTCTGAAACTGGATGAAAAATACTACATTTGAAGTGTGAAGGTCACTTACAGCCCAGGGTTTGTCACACATATTGTAAATGGAGTCCAGAGAGTTGACCGATGGGACACCTGCATACTGAAGACCGATGATCAAGTTCCTAAAATCTTCATTCTGGGCCATGCTAAAGGCGTGTTGACGCACCAAAACAAAGTCAGGCCTGAATGACCTGCAGCAGGAAAACAAAAAGGGTTACAACAAATGAAGCTGTATGTATAAGTTGACAGCAACCTCGTTTGGATCTGTTTCCCTAATACATGCGACTCCTAATAATTAATAATCTTTATGTTAGTGTAGACGTGCGTAATTACAGTGCTCCAGTTCAGTCTGAAGGTTATTTTGGTATAAAGCCTCTAGCTTAGGATTGAGGCAGGAAAGAATGAAGCTGTCGTCCTCCTACACAGTTTGTGTTGTTGGGTAATCTCATCACCAGAAGGTGAAACTAGGCTGTCTGTGAAATGAGTGGCTGACTGCAGCATTAGCAGTTCGAAAATCTGTAGATAAAATTGCAAAGGAAACTTTGATAAATAGTAAATGGCAGATGCTAAAAGTCTCTATAATTTTATGCATTTATGTATAATTCACCTCTAGCTAGTGCAATTGAAAATGAGAAAACATGAGTCACAAGGCGCATATTAAGTGTGAAAATCTCTGCGGCACAAGTTCTGACCAGCAGGGTAAGGTCAGTCACTGCAATTCAGCTCAGTGGAGGGTTGATTATTGGCAATGACTCCTGTTATTTTTCCCTTTGTCTTTGCGAGGGAGTGAGAAAGTAAGGCTGATTCAGAGAAGAGAAGCAGACAGAGGTGGGAAAAGGTTCTGACATTAAAATAAATGGAGATGGTTGTTGTGATAAAATGCCAGAGAGGAACAACACTACAAACAATGTCAGCAGAACTGGAAATTCAGCAGTAAGAATATAAATCCTAGAATTTAACTCAGCTGAGAAAGAGGGACAGGTTGTATTGTCAGATTGTTGTGACCCTTTTGTGTTGTTGTCCCAATGGAAAACAAATGTTAACTGCTGCCACAGGAAGTCAACTTCTTTTCAAATGTGCATTAAAATTTGAAAGGGGAGTAAGATATGTGGTTTCACCTGTTAGTAACAGATTTTTTTTGTCATTGCATGATTAGATTTTAGCAAGGTTCTGAAAGCTTAAACAGAAATGCTTGTCATAAATATTTTTATCATAATCACTGCAGATAAAACATGATGTTTTTTCCATGAAGGCTTTGGTATATGATTAATAAATGTGTATACCAGTGTTATATACTTGTATTGGTGGTAAAATAACAGTAAAAATATGGTATATTTTTGTGTATATGTTGTAATGTGTGTTAAAAGATATGCCCCTACTGCCACTGACTGTATGAATTATTACTTGAATCGCGTTTGTTAGATAATGAACAATTACATGTATTAAAATTAAATCATTAGGAACAGGAATATTGGAATCCACTCCAGCACAGTAATAAATTGTCTAAATGGGTTTAGAATTTGAAGTATGTGTCATGAGACCGTTACCTTTATAACTTCCTGTTACAGCTATTTGTGTTGCAGAGTGATAAACTTTACAAGATGAGCAACAATTCACTCATTTTATCTTTTTTCTTTCTCTTTAGCTCTTTACTCTATTTTAGTGCCAATTAGTAAAAAAATTAGCAAAGACAAGACAAATGAACAAACAAACAGATAGTCCTCATATGCAACAATATATGATGCATTGTATAATCTGACAAAAAAAAACTATACTACTTTACATCTACACTCCTTATAGTCGGTATAGGTTTTTATTTATTACTAACATTTATTATGCATCTGAAAATTTTTAATTCTTGTACTGCCCCATTAGCCTACATTGAAACCACCTCTGTCCATACAAGCATTTCACTTCATTATAAATACTGCTATAGACTACACATCCAAAGAGCCTCCAAAGAGTGGTATATAATATCTAATCATCTATTTTTTACATTAGAAGACAGAGAAAGAAATAATGAAGAGGAAAGAATAAGAAAAGACAGCAAAAGATTATATAGTGACATGCTCCGGGATGTGATGGAGGTTACTAAGCAACTTGCAGTCTCTGAGCAGTTAGCAAATCACTGCTGAGACTTCAAATCGATGGACATAGTGCAATTACTGAGACAAATGCAGATAGTTAGGAATGTCAAGGTCTAAAAGCCCAGCACTGAAGTCAGAAATAAAGAGCTAATGTTTGTGTTGTAACCTTAATGACTGTCTCCAGAGCAAAGTTTGTGGGAAGATTAAGCAATAGTCTAACTTTGGAGGTTTGGGAGGAGCTGTAAAAATACACCGTAAAGTAATAAAGCTACCATGTGCGGATGGCTTTTAAGATGATAAATGTAAATTACTGCTGCTTTATGAATAAAGGAGTCCAAGGCGAACTATTTGTTGCATTTGTTTCTGTTCCTTTCATTCTGTGACCAGCCCCCCATAAAGCAGAGCATCAAGACAAAGCTGCTGATTACCAGACTAAAGCTGCCGTCTTCATTTCCTTTCGCTTGTGTTTGTTTCTCTGCAGTGGGCGTTAGAGTCTTGGTTAAATGCTGCCAGTCTCCAGGCTGAACACTTGTATTGAGTCAGTGGGGGTTTGTGGTATGTGTGAGTGTGTGTTATTGTCTGGTTTACGGTAAGTTTATATGTTTGTAGGCAGATTGTCTGTGCCAGGCTGCGGGTTCTGCCTTCGGTCATAGTTTTCAGTAAACAAGTCATTTTATTACTTATAAATGTATTCAGTTGGGTTTCAGTTTCACAGAAAAGAGAAGGTGTTGGATAATTGGGTATTGAAGAAAAATAGAAGAACATCAGCAGAACACATTCTGAGTTAAAATCATGATTAAAGTTTCCCTAGAAGGGGACAGACAAATTTTACCAAAAGTTTCTGCAAATTATTTATAAGGACAAAATCAGACACACCTAACCTTTTTGGGTTCCAGAAACCTTTTTGATGCAAATTTTTAGGGTTATTCTGTCAGTCATACAAAGTCCGTATATGACATGTGTTGTGAATTGGCGCTATTTAAAGAAATAAACTGAACTGAATATATAGATACTTTTTTAACTTGAAATAATTTTGTGGGTCACAAGTTTTCTACAATAATGTGCAACAATTTAAAAGCTGCTTTAACCAAGCAAAAAAATACAAATCTTTCCAGTTTTCATCCATGTTTTTGAAGTCCGATTTTGTATTTTTGCTGCTTTTAAAAGTCCATTAAATTATCCTTTACACTGCATTGTACAGGGGTGTTTAATACCATAATAGAAAATTGCTTTGGTGAAAGTTAATGATAGGAAAGTTTCTTCACTAAATTTCAAAACTGGTACCAATAATTGGAAAAGTAATATTAATAAGGGTTTTTACACAAAATGCAAAATTACACATTGGCTCCTTTACTTCATTCAGAAAAAAGGTAGCAGAAATTGTTGAAAACCAACTTTAGTCCTAAAAAAAGTATAGTATTCAAACCATGCCTGAGGAAGAACACAGTGTCCACTCTGTCTCGGTGAGAAAAAAAAAAAAAAAGAATGCATACTGTGTCAAATCAAGGAAATATAACTATGGCTAAATCATTTCCTGCAGAAGTATTTAGCCATAACTTTAACTGCATAAATAACTTTCTCACTCCTCTATAGAAATAACATACCTTAATATTTCTATTATTAAAGAGCAATACAAAAAAAGTAAAAAATACATAAATAAGAAACTTGGCAAACAACAATGGGGTTTATTATTTCCGCCAGACAGTAAGGAGCATGAACCCTGACAAACAGTACAGAGTCCTCTTTATATCATTTATTCTTTAAAAACAAATCCTTTCATAATAACTTCTAGTCATTTTTACATTTTTAGTGAAAAATCAATGTCTTAGATTTTTAATTAGCGAAGTTAAAGCAAAAACTTTAAATCTTTTTAATGTAAGATTAAAAGTTAAAATTGCGATAAATAAAAATACTTAGTCAAGTAAAGATCCACAAACCAATTACATAAATACTATAACAGAAATGTCCTAAGTTACCATTCACTGTCATTTTTAAGTACTGATATACCTTTTGCTTTTTTACATTTCATCACTTTACAACCAAATACCCCAGTCTGGGGTGTACGATAATTATATTAAGAGCCCTTTATTCTGAAACCCCTAAAAAAAACAAAAACAAAAAAAAACAAAACAATGCAGCAAGCTGCCTTAAGAAAACAGGATCATGAAAATCAACAACTTGTGGCTAAAGGTTTGATCAAATATAAAGCTGTATTGGATTATAAAACCATGTCCCTTACTTTGAGCATTTCACAGAGCACAGTTCAACCAGTCATCTAAAAATGGAAATAGAGTGTAAGTGTATCTGCATCTCTTCTATATAAAGTGACAGGCTGTGAAAAGAGTGCATCATTTAGAGGTGGAGTGACAAGAAAAATGTAGTTCCTGAAAGAAAACTGTCAGACAGCTATTTGCAGTTTTCGATGCTATGTATTATAAATAAGCTTACAGTAAACATCACCCCTAACATGCTCTGAGAATTTGCTTTCTTATTTTGGCATGAAGAAGCAGGTCAAATGTATCAGTAAGATGGATGAAGTTGATTTAAATATTTTCATTTTAGTTTTTAATGGCACTTTATTGACAGTAAGCTGACAGGAAAGGGAGTATGAGAGACTTGTGGCAAAGAACCACAGGTCAGCCGTGCTGAGGACTAAGGTTGTGTGTGCTAACCACTGCGCCACCGAAACACCCCCTAAATGAAGTTAATTGAAATTTTGACCTTCCACTAAGACCAAGAGCCAAAGCTTACATCTAGAGCTGCAGTGTAATAGGTTTAGATTATAGCAAATTCATGTACTAAACTGCTGCAATCAAAGTCCAGCATTAAACGTAATTGAGAATCTCTGGAAAGATGTGGAGATTGATGCCCATGGAAGCTCCCCATCCTGTCTAATGGTGAAAAAAGTTCACTATCAAACTGTTAAAGAAAAAAAAAACGTGCAAAACTGTTTGTGGTTCATAATTTAATGACAAACCGCAAAAGACACAATTGGTTTTGAAAATACTAAGGAAATCTTAGGAAATTAATTTGCATGTTCAGAATTTTAGATAAAAAATAAAATAAAAAAAATCTCTCTGCTGGTCTATTACATAAATCCCAAATAAAATACAGTGAAGTTAATGGAAGTAAAGTGAACACATGTAAGGAGGTTTTGTTATTGATTTTAGGAATGTATGCAATGGTTTGAAAAACGGGTACAGCCTGAGTTTAAGATTCACTAGGCATTTAACCAACAGCTTGACTAGTACTTATAATCATGCATTTATAGAAGAGAGCTGACCTGACAACCTTGGTCCCACCCCTGATGACCTGCATGTCCACGTTGCAGGTTCCATTTGAATAAGCCACAAGGTTGATCTCTGAGAACTCCGCCTGCATGGATAAAAAACAAAAAAAAAACTAAAACAGGGCAGTTTAAAATTAATTCTCGTTTATATTAATAAAAATGTCTTTCATGTTCATTATTTATGTTTCAACCACTTAAATTTCATTTCAACTGTTAAATCTCCTCTAAAGTAGCTATCATTGCTTTGTTTTATTTATCATCTGAACTTAGGATTTATACTGAAATCTATTTAATGAATCACTTGTTCATTTTCACAAACTACCTATGCATACTGTTGCACAGAGATGAGTAGAAACATGCAACCACTGCTTTTGCAATGCTTGTGTATTTGCATACTCTTGACTTATTTCACTGCAGACATAAACCGTGCTTCTGCTTTCGTAGTAAATCCACCTCGCTGCTCTGTGCTGTGGTTGGAGACATGACAAGGATATCTCTGTGACTCATAGCCGCCGACCTCTGTCTCGTCTGGTACATATTTCATTCTTGTGGTGAGGCTTGAGGTTTACATTAAGATCTATTAGGTGTGAAACAGTTTAATGTGAAACATCTGACAATACTCATTTGACATTCAAGCAACCAAAGTGCGTTATAAAACGGTTTGCTGGTTAGTTGGTTAAACCAATATGAAACTAACGTATTATATTGGGGAGGCTTGCGACAGATACCTTGTGCAAAAGTGTAATCAACGAATTTAGACACTTTTTATGTTTTTTCATTGGATGCATAGGTGTTTTTTAAACTGGAGGCATATATTTAAATACATTCAAAGCACAAAGGTTTGCTTATTTGATTCTTCCATTTCATATCATTAGCAATCAGCTCTTAGAAAGAAAATTGTGTGATCTGACTTCAAGGTTTTTCTTAATAGATCTTGGTATGGTTTAACATATATTGCACAAATTGAGAAAACCAAATCCTTTTAATGTGTAAAATACTTGAAGCCTTTAGCAAAAGTGAGAAGCTGCTGGTATTGAAGTTCCCAGTGTGTTGAATGAAGGAGCAGCTTAACTCAGCAAAAACTTTAAACATCGAGAGAGCTAGAACATAACATATTATTATAGGTAAGATAACTATCAAAATGTGCTAATTAATATGCTACTACTTTGGCAATACAGGATGATAGCAACATATTTGTCTCCTTATATTAAATTAACATGTTTGCAAATTAAGTTTGTACAGTACTGGTTTAATGCCATTGAGCAGTTAATATATACATAGGGTAGCTTGATATCTAGTTCAGAATTTCTTCTTCAAGAGACACTTTGGTTGTGCTTCCAGTGGGGAAGTTGAAAAACCTGAATTCCCTGTACAAACATTGCTTGATGATTTATGATCCGTTATGTATTTTTATTCTGATGACACAAAGCATTGGCTTTAGCCTTAAGCTCTTGTAGGATCGAACAGGTCTGCAAGGGTGAGTATCTATAAGAAGTCAGAGAGAGGCTCATGGGAAAGCCAGGATAGTAAAATTGCTAAACAAGCCTCTGTCTGTCTGTCTGTCTGTCTGTCTGCCTGATCTTGGTAATACAATTATGAGGGGAAAAAAGTAATGAGCAAAGTAAATAAATAAAAAATTACAGAAATTATTTTTAAGTATCTATCTTATAGAAACTTTTATGTAGGGATTTGCAAGAGTACTTCAGGAAATACTGTTTTTTGGGGGTTTTTTTTGGATTCCTTTTGAATGTGCCATTCTGTAAAGTTGTGAAAAGGTGTTGCACAGTGTGGTGTGAAGTGTATTTATGTAAGATCCCTGAAACCCTTCAAACACATCCTCTAAGGACCTGGAATATTTTTTGATGTATCAATAAAAGAAAAGCCAACATACTGTCAGCTCCCTTTTATCTCTTTGATCTCTTTTATAATGCCTGATCTGATGCATCATAGCTAAAAAGAAATAAAAACTAAAAATCAACATGATACCTGCTCCACTTTGATGTCGTATTCTCCAAGGACCTTCTTTCCTCTGAACACTTTTGCCCTAAAAAAAGAGGTGAAGAAAATCAAGTTGTTAAAAGACAGGTGTAGACTTCACAGTTGTATATGCTGCCCCCTACTGGAGCTTTCAGATTTTGTCCACCAAAAGACTGAATATAAATGAATGAAACGTTTAGAAGCCAAGCTTTCTAATAAATGTTAGATAGTATTGATCAGAAGGGTGGGGTCTTGTCTCTACTTAAAAAAACAACAACAAAGAACTAGTTTTTATAGAAATTTCTCTCACAGTCTAAGCCGTACATGTTGGTGTGTTGATGTTCTCTTCCTACTTTCTTGGCTGCCATATGATTAAGAGTGACACGAGCCCCAGTAAACACACAACAGTGGACAGATGGAGAGAAAACTGGAAGAGATGGACCGATGAAGAGGAAATATAAAGGATCTCAGCCAAAATAACCCCAATACCCAGGATTTCTCATCATACAAGGGGCTCCAAACAGATCACAGATGGTTTTGACTTCATCAACTGATACTAAATAAAGCACATCTGAAAAATTGCCCAGAAAGAGCATCTATATTTTTCACGCCAGGAAAAACTGTCACTAACTTTCAAGAACTCCTCTTTCACCAGTGTTTGTGAAACTGTTGCACTTATTTGTCAATCAAATGTGTCCTTTACTTGGACAACATATGATTACCAAAATACAGATTACTGAATATACCTGCTGAAGGCTAGTTCATGTAAATTTCTATCTAAGGTTTAGAGCCTTTATTAAAATTGTATAGCTATCAGACATCATTCCACACAGAGTGCAAAGATTTTAACATTTTTTAGCCATTTCTCACTGTGCATTCAATTAGAAGTGGCCTATTTATTTATTTCCATGGTTTAAACAGGATCTTTTGTAGTGCAGAGAAGAGCATTTGGCTCAAATTTTATAGTTCATCACATTCTGACCATCTGTGAGGGAAACACTGGGTATGTCACCCTAACATCCTGCAATCGAAAAGTGTTTGAGTCAAATTATTAACATTAAAACTTTAAAACCTAACTTCAACCCTTAAATACATTTATTCTACAATGATAGAATGGACAGTAACTAATTTTATTGAAAACATGCATTGACCCCAAAGTAATGAATACTGTAGTCACATTAAATGTGTGTACACTATCCGTGGTTCATATGTCAGTCCTCCGCCGTACTTAAATATTAATGTTCTGCTAAAAGCAGCTATGTGTCCTCTTTATTACCACCAGCAAACAGTTTCCATCAGTTTAGTTTGAGATTAACATAGCAAGCACATCAAACAGGAATTTGAATAAAACTGATTTTAGAGGTCAGAAAGTTACAACCGACAAATGGATAGCTGTGTGTCTTGTTCTGTGAAAAAAAAACATTTCCAAATATTTTGCGAGGTGGTTTTGGTCTTTCTAAGTATTTTCCCTGCATGGCTCTAAAAACGTGCACAAATCTGAAGACTTGATTGTGTTGTTCCTCACCCGATCTCATGGAATAATGATATTTTTAACAATTGTCTATAATTATCATTTCTTAAGTGACCTAAACACTGAAGCTAATATGACGTTTCTTTTTTTTTTCTTGCCATGTATCCTGATTTATGCAGTAACACATTTGATCTAAACAGAGATGTGAAACACATTTCCTTAAGTATCAATTGCTGTCATGCACATATAGCATGTTAATGTGACCATGATTGGTTTTTATCATCCGTGCAAACAAGGCATCTACATATCAAAGCATGGGCATAGTTAGTATTATCACTGGATCACTGATGCACAGTTAAGAATGACTTGTGTAATTCCTACTGCATGTCATTACACATGGCCTTTCTTTATCTCAATCACATCACAATTGCACATATCAAAAATCCCACTGGTAGAACAGTGATGCTGGTGCTTTATATATTTTGTGTATGGCTCTATTTCCTTCTTTCTTAACTTTAAATCGACTAACAAAAGAATGACAACTTTGATTAAAATATAAGTACAGGGAAAATCTACACTACAGTGATTTGAATTCCTTGCAGAAATGTAGGAGGTGTTCATTTTGTTGTAAAAGCCCCTCATTGCTGTTGCAAACACCTGCAATAACAGACATCTGCAAATGTAAATTATTCAATTTTGGGGACCTCGTGGTTAAGTGAACGAGAGAGAATGAAATCCCAATGTATGCATATTAAGTAGTAATTACATATGTATCACCAGCCACCTGCTTATAACGGAAATATTTAAAAATGTACCTTGAAACGATCTCGTCTAATGATATCACCCATTTCAGTGCTTAGAGTTTCCTTTATGACGCTTTTAATGGCAGCTAATATTGTCACTATGAGGAATGTTTTAATTACATTTACAGCTATAAAATGTTATCTCAAATTTAGCCAAATTACACATAAAACCAAGGGTATTCTACATCTGTTCATGTTTCTGGGAAACTAGGTGAGCAGCTTATATAGAAAAATCAACAATGTCAAAGTTTTGCTGTAAAGTATAATTTAACACTAAACTCCATTGCAATCTGAAAACAAGCACATCCTCTATATTCAACTATCATAAATCAGTAAACTGGCGGCATCAGTAATATTTTTTGGGGATTTTACACAAAACATCCTTAATTCATACATATGAGTTTCTGGAACATAAACGAAGCACAGCTCTGTCAAGTTCCAAAACATATTAAAACATAAATTGAAACATTATTTTGGGCTTTGCAGAGTAAAGTAACTGGAATATAATCACATTTGTTATATTTTTTAACTTATCAAAATAAACTAATAAAATATTAAAGGATGTTACAAAAAAACAGTTTCAGAAAAAGAACCTCAATATTTAGAAACATATTGGTATATACAACCTGAAAGACAAAACCACTTTACTGAGTCAGCCATTTGCACATTACTGGAAAACATGTCACAGTCGCCTGACAAAAGAAACATCATTGGTGCCGTTTTCCTGGACTTTAAGCGGGCGTTTGATACAGTCATCTTATTTCAAAATTGTCACCTTTTAACATGTCGCATCAGTCATTATCATTGTTCCAGTCATATTTGCATTGCTGAGAACAATGTTTAGTTATTGCTCATGTAAAATCTATCCCATGTGAGGTTAAGACAGGAACTATTCGGGCACCTATTCTACTTACAGTAGCTTGTCTGTGAATGAGATTCCTCAAGTGTTTATCTGAAGATCATCTTCAGATAAAAACTGTGGTTTATGTCCTGGTAAAAACCCTGCAACTATCAGCAGCACACTGACTAAAAGTCTGGAGGAAGTTTTCCAATTGTCAAATGAATCTTTTTAACATTAAATTAAACGATAAAGAAAACAATAAATATGTTATAAATAGTGTTGCGCCGATGCCATTTTTTGGCCCCGATACCGATATCTGGCTGTGCGGTATCGGCCGATACCATACCGATACCATCTGTTTGAAATTGATGTGTGTGTGTGTATAAATGAAGGACTGCATACTACTTGGATGTAAAATAATTGCCATCATGGTTTTTTCAAGGTGCTGCCTAACTTTGTGAAGCAGAACAAAGGCTTATACGAAGTGATTCCAGTAGAACTTTTTATTGCCTACCTGGAATGGGTGACAGCAGTTGAATAAACTTTTCACTCTCAAAATGGTATCTGTGCCCTATTTGTTGGTACTCACCGACACCGATACCACCATTTTAGTGCAGTAGCAGGGCCCTGCCTGATACTAGTGTTGGTATCAGAATCAGAATCAGAAATACTTTAATAATCCCAGAGGGAAATTACTTTTGTTACACTCTCCAGTTAAAGCTTTATATATATATATATGTATATACAACCAAGCTCTTCTGTATATATATATATATATATATATATATATATATATATATATAAAACTAAATCCAAGTAAAGTGATAAATCCAAGTAAAGTGATAGATCCCAGTAAAGTGATAAGTGACGTGCAAAAATAGTGCATAGGGGGGTCTGAATCACTTGAGGGAGGCGTTATAGAGATTGATGACCACAGGTAGGAATGATTTTGGTTCAACACTAGTTATAAATATAAATAATTCAGAGAACAAACCATTTAATTATCAATATAAATGTATTTATGGACTGATGTGTGGTCTCAGACCAGTCAATCTATCATAAAGCGTACTTTTTATTTGGACATTTTAAATTATGTTAAAGTATCATTAAATTCCAATATTTTTACATTTGAAGTAAATATTTTGCTATATTTAGTGATTTTTTTATTTCAGTTTTATAAAGTTGATTCTGTGAATTTTGTTAATGTCAGCTAAATACTGTAAAGTTGATGTTTAAGTGTTTAACTAGACTTGCACCTGAGCCACTTTGTAAGCTGGTGAATAAACTGGAAACTTTCGGATCAACGAGAGCTGCTATATGTGGAAACTGTAAAGTTTGTAAATTTTTTTGTAAAAAAGCAACAAAAAAACTAAAAAAATTTATTTAGCTGGGTAAAGCCCTTCAAGCGACAGGTGTGGTGAATTAGCCGTGGCTATAAGCAGAATGATACAGGCATCAGATCATTTTATAAGCTTTAAACATATCTGGTATCTATTCCTACAAAATAAACCAAATAAATAAATAAATACATCCCATATCTTCAGTACAGAGTAATGAGCATGAAACAAGCCTCAGAGCTAACGTAATTTAACTTTAATCCACTTTAATGCAGAATCAGCAACAAAATACATTGTGAGGCTATAAACAACAAATCAACCCTGGTATGTAATCCCTGCAGTTTTCACAAACTAATTTGTGGCACAATAATTGTCTTAAATTCAAACAACTCTAAAAGTGGTTTAGCTGTGTTTAATAAACAAAAAGCTCTGTACAGACATACTCCCACATGCTGCTTTGTTTGAGAAGTACAGAGTTGCACTTTCATTGAACCAGCGCAAACTCTGATGCATCTAACATAAACTAAACTCAGCTATAATAGCAGATATCAAATATTCAAGTTTTTTAATCCAAACACAGCTGGTGGTTTTCTAGTATATGCGTATCATAGAAAA